TTATTTTTGTTTTTACCAAACAATTTAATAATTTTTTTCAGATGATTCGAAAAATTTTTTTATATTTTTTTAATTTCTTGATAGGTTTATCTGAGAGTTAGAAGTCTAGCCCTTCCTGGCCACGCCTCTTTTCTTATTGTTGTCAGCTCTGGTTCCCGTCGGATCAAAGTCTCACATGTCGGCTCAAAAAAGCCCAAAAATAAAAACGTGTCATTTAAGTTTGGAAAAAAAAAGTTGTTTCAAAGAAATTTTCCGTGGTCCTCCATCATTTCGAAAAAACATCTCCCTAGAGCGATGTAGACAGGAAAGGCGCCAATTCTGCTAAAGACCAAAGCCGCGAACATTTTTGGTTTCTCTGCTTCGGCATTGAAACAAAAACTTTCTTCTTTAAAAAACAAATCCAATTTTTCATTCTTCACACACTTTTTCATTTTGAATGCAAAATTTCGTTAGTTCAAAAAATTTCTCTCTTTCTCTGTCCAAGAGTCTCAATATGCTTATTTTCAAAATTCCATTTCATGGCGCTTCAGTTATTGAATTGTGTTTTTCATGAACCATGTCAAAATGAAGCAAGCTGAGATAGTTCCTCGTCCTAAACTAGCTAAAAATTGAGGTTTTTTTTGGGATTCCAGCAAGGAATTAACTAGAAGCAAAATGCAGGATTGAACCTTGAAGACCTCTTGAGAAATCAATTTTCTTTGAGCTCATTTTTTCGAAAGGAAAAAAGAGTTTGCTATATTTTTTGGAATATTTTATGTTTTCACACAGACTTTTTAGTGCTCTGATAATTGAAGAAATATTCTATATTTTTTTGGCGTCGAAGGTAGAAATTAATGGTGAGAACATTACCTCCAAACCTAATTTTTTTTTGGCGCTTAGGAGAATCTTGAATCTCATATCATAAAAAAATGAAGTTCAGGCAGATAAGTTCTTTTTCTTCCTTTTTTCAGTTTTTCACAGATAGTTTTGGCTTCTTTGTAGGAAATTTTCGAATCTTAACTCAGGAACTTTTCTGCAACTGCTTTCACTTTCGGAATAGATTTCAAAAATTCTCAGTTTTTTTTTTCAATATTGATGTGATAAATGTCACTATGCTTGATAAATCAATTTCAAATCGAATGCTACAATCAACTAGGGAAGCGGAAAGAGTTGATTGTTTTTCACAATTTCCAGTTTTGATTAACGCCTCTTCTTTCTCGACGCCGTCGGGAAATTCAGCGGGTTTTCTAGGAGTTCAATTTGCCGCACTAATCCCGCAGAACCATGCCTTCCAATTTGAAGGTTAAGTCGTGGAGAAATTGCTCGGCTCCTTTACTTCGCTCATATTTTCCACGGTGGCCTACGAGCTTTTTTGAAAAATCGTTTGCTTTTTTTTAACTCTTGTTAGTTTTTGAATGCGAGAAGAAGGAATGTTTGTTGTCAGTTGAGATAAAAGCTGCAAACAAAAGAAAAACATGGATCTTTGTTTTTTGTGAAGCTCGCTTTTCAGATGAAGTTTTTGACGCAGAAATTTACTTTTTCCTTTCTTTCTAGCCAAGTATGAATTTGTGAAAATCTTGCATTCACGTTGTTCAATTGAAAAGTTAGTCATCCTGAACGAGTGCACTTTCAAACACACAAATTGAGTTAAAACTTTAAAAAAGTTTTTCCAGCCGTTTCTCTTTTGGTGAGAACTGAGTAATAGAGTTATTCAAAATGAGAGCTCATTCTATACAGCTCTTGGGAATTTGTTGTCGCTTTCATATCCCTGTTTATTACTTTTTCCGCAACTCCATTCGTCTTTTTTCAAGACTTGTTCAATTTTACACATTCCCAACGCTTTTGGATGATATTAGAGACGGAAAACATACACGAAGGACCAGAAAGAAGTTCTCTATGCAATTATTTGATTCGCTCTTCCCAATGAAAGCGTCTAGCGCAGCCGTGTCTACAACCATTCTCACCTAAGCAATTTTGCCGTTTTGAATTGCAAATCGACGAGTTGTTGACGCCGTCTTCACATCATGTAATATATTTATGTCATCTCAACGGACCAGAGCTGCAGGATTGAGCCGTCGTCTATGGAAAGCCTGACGCATCTGACGTCGACGGACCGAGAGATCCTCCAGAAGTCATGGACCACTGTTTCCAGGTTTTTCCATTCAAATCAGTTATACTGAATTAAATGTAGCCTGTCGTTCTTTTTTTCAGCTCGTTTTTCATTTTGAAATCAATAATTGTATATCTCATTTGCCTAAAGTTGCAAGAACTTGGATTATCTGCCCTCTGAAATCAAAAAAAAAATCTGGTGGCGATAAAACGCAGAAAAAAATCAACTTCACCAAGCCATAGCAAAAAGGGAATAAATAAGAATGTTTGAAATGTATCCGAACCAATGGATCTTCTTGTTGTAAACCGACAATGACAAAAAAAAAACCTTATGTTTTCAAGAATAAGCGTTTGTTTTCCAAAAGCTCGGCAGAGTTGTTTTGCCGGGACACCGGCCAAGTTTTCAAAATAGCTCATTCATCAGAGTCTGTGCCCAGATAAACGGCAAAAAGATGTTGGACTTGAAAGGGATGGACATATTTCCATGGCAGATCCTTCCAGGGACCTCCAGCAGATTGCCGTCGACATCTTTCATATGATTTTCGAGCTGGCGCCCGACGCCAAACTCATGTTTTCGTTCATGGTCCATGATTATAGGCGAGTGGCGATTTTTTATATATAACTTTGAGGCAAATACGGAAACAAAGGAACGGTTGTATTTAATTGCAAAAAGATACAAAAGGAGTCCGTTATTTTCCTTATGAACTTGAAAAGAAGTTTGTTCAGCAGCGACAAGAAGAGCAACGAGTTCTCGTTCCACGCGCTACGCTTCATCCAAGTCATCGAGTCGACGATGGAGCATTTGGACGCTCCCGAGAGTCTAGACGCACTGTTTCTGAACCTCGGCCGAGTACATGCCCGACACGAGGAGAACCTTGGCTTCAGGTCTAGCCTTTTTCAAATTTTCTGAACTTCTGGTTTTCTTCTGTTGAAGCGGTTCCTTGTCATGTATAAACAATCAGAGTTCTTTTCCTTGTTCGAAATCGCAAAGCAACATTTTGATATTTTCAAAAATGTTGAGGGTGTGATAGGAAATTAAAATTTCTAGAAGTGTTCTTGGAGCCGTCGTTTTAAGAAAACGCTTGGCTTTTATGACTGGAGCATTATAATATCTATTCAAAGCCTGATTTGATTTTCACAAAGGCCTTTTACAGCTCTCACTATTGGTCAGTTTTCAAGGAATGTGTCTTGTACCATTTTCGCAAAGCGATGAAGCCTGATAAACGGTTTGTTTTTTGAAAAATGTCACAAAATACTTGATATTTTCAGAGGAAAGAATAAAAAGAATGCAATGACGATGGCTCAGATTGACTCAGCAATTATCTTATGGCGAGAGGTTTTGTTTTTGATTTTTCTTTATCTTTGATTGAAAAATAAGTCAGTAAGTTAGAATGTGGAAGGGAATTTGTTCAAAATGTTTTTTGGAAGCGGTGTCCATTGATACAGATCCACTTCTACAATTTCCAATGTCAATTGAGAAAACACTTCCTCATCCTGAAATGATTTTTAGGATTTTGTTTTGAAAATTCGAATTGTAAAGCATATAAAAAGCGAGTCTAGTACGGCTCATCAAAAAAAAAAATCCTCAATATGGCTATATCTTGATATTTTTGTTTAACGTATCTAAACCTATGGAATTAAATGAAATCAGAGTTTTAGATTTGATTTACAACTTGTCAAGAAACAGACTCAATGACAACATTTTGAAATGACTTTTGAGATTTCGATTTAATGAAGCTTCAGAACCGGAACTTGTATACCACAAAGTTAATTTTAAAAAAAAGGTCGAAGGTTGTAGTTCTGTAATATCGAAAAAGCAGCAGGATGTACATTAATGCCGTTTTCGAAGCTTTTTCGCGATATTCAAAAAACAGTTTCAGAAGTAAAAAATTTGGAAATTTCAAAATAAAACCTTTTATTTGTACTGGGACCTTTTCAGGTGCTGCGTTTCATAATCTCGCGGATGAAAGTCGGCCTGTCGGAGAACGGAATCATCCGCAAGGCCAACCGTGAACAAGTGCGTTTGAACTCCATTCACCGCTAGCTTGTGCCAAAAGTATCCCAGAAAAACTTCTTCTCTTCGCAAATGTTTCACTAACATTGTTAACTTTCTATTTGAATCTTGTCTCAAAGCAGCGGTGGCTCAAGTAAAGACGAAGAGGACCTACTTTAGGTGAACAACGGACGACGGATGTCCCAGGGAGGCCCAACCAACTCCGTCGAGTCGAAGCAACAAGTCACTCATGTAATTATCCATCTTTATTCTTTTTTTCGGCTTGATCAGGCTGTGTGGTCATCACAGAGAAGAATATTGAAAAATATCAACGATTTTGTTTTCTCTCAGAAGTAGTCTCTAATCTTTATGAAGGAAAGAAAAAAACGCAAATAGCTGAATCTTCCAAAGTTATTCAAAACTTATTCTGCAATTTCGGACGCAAGAAAACGACATAAAAACAGGAAAAGAGGGCTTGAGAAAAAAAATTCCAATAAAAATGTTCGAATCAGATACGAATATTATTAGACTTCTTGTATTCAGAAACAGCTCAAAAACTTTTTCTCTTGAAAAAAACACTGGACATTCCGTTTATCCTCCGCGATTTCTGAGAAAAGTTCACCTTGAAATGCACAAATGCCGTAGAGATGCACTGCTTCCCCTGCCTTCGCCCTTGATCTATGCTTAACGCACGGCGACTCCAAGTTGCAGATGCCGGATTGCAGGAGCTGCGACGGTGCGAGCTGTCGGTGGTTGTCCCCGAATACTTCCTGCGGCGGCGCTCCGACGACGTCACTACGTCCGGCGAGTCTTCGCCGACCGTCCTGCCGCCCTAGATCCCGAATTGACACGTCGCCACGTTCCACCAAATAAATATTTTTGCTTTTCATTTTCTATTTTCGCACTAAAAATCTGACAAATGATCCTCGTCGGCGTCGTCAACTTGTTCGTAGTTGTCGGATCTGCTCCAGTATTCCAGTTCACTGATGACTCGACGGTAAACATATAGGTCTCAAGAACTACTGTTTTTATACTCAATTTATGGCTAGATTAAAACAAAAGTAATGAAGACATGACTATAGCCGATTTATGGCCGAATTGCGGCTCAAAAGGGCGTGGCCTGTCTGCGCTCTCCACCAACCAGGCACTGTCTCTTTTCTTATCGTGTCAGGACCATTTTTTCAATGGCTCAAGTCGGCCGTGCTAACTAATCATTTTCAACCAATTTCGAGTCTTTTTTTATCGAAAATTTTCATCAACTATGTCAAGACTCCCATCAAATATTTATTCATAAAAAGGGGTGGAAAAGTTATTTCTATATTATATAGACTATATATGCTTTCTCAAAAAAAAAATTTACGTATTAGTTTTTCATCAGTTCTGTTCATGAAACCTTGTTGAATTGTTTGAAGATGCATCGACTAATTTCAAAACATTCTCGAGGCGAAGTAATGGTTTTCGGAGATCTTTCAGGTCATGCAAGGTTTTCCGCGTAAATATTCCATTGAAGTTTCAAAATTTACAAAAAAAAAACGAGCTGAAAGAACACTGAGAACGGTTCGAAGCCTCGAAAACTTTCCCAAATTAGTCTTTGCTCCTAAAAATAGTCACGTCTGTGGAGAGCTAAATCTTGAAAAAGTAAAGTTGAATTTTGGTCGTAAATTTTTGATTCTTTTGTTGATTCATCCGTAAAATTGAAAAAAAGCTTCTCTTTGCGCAGATCTCAGACAGTGCGATACTTCGATGGATGCCACCGTCGAAGACTCTCTGGAGAACAGCCAAAATCGAAAAACACGTCAAGGTCAGCTTTTTTGATGGAAAAACATATTTGATAAAACATTTATAAGTATCTAAAACATGCTATGGTTAAATTCCTTCTCAAAATCTGGAATAGATTCACTGGGAAATCGAATGGGCCAAGGCCAAGTTTGCTGAGGATTGCCAGAACGACGTCAAAGTCAGTTTCCGAGAATTAAATCGAAGCGAGTTTTGACGAGCTTCAGTTTGTGCCTGTGTACTTTTGGCCGGGCGAACGCGTTGATCTGACATGTCGTATGTGTGAAGTGAGTACAAATGTAGTTTTTTCGTTCAAGGGATTCCGTTCAGATGGCTTTCGTTATGAATGGACTAATGAAAAGATGGGGATACGCCGAGGATATCAGCGAGTTCCTCGTGAATCCCAAGGTTGCATTTTGTGAGAGAAAATTGACGCGAAAAGGGCGACTCAGCGGTACGTGAAGATAAACGACCTGTGGAAGGACGTCGAGAACTCGCCGAACCGACGGAAAGGGTAGCTCCTTTGAGAATACTAGCGGAAGACATTCCATTAGGCTTTTGGAACAGGAACAACGAAGTTTCGGGTCGAATTTCCTGCCGGAACCGTCTGCTCGAACCACAGTACTTTTCCTCTTCTTAACTTTTTTGAAGTGTCGTTTGTTGAGGAAAATCAGTGGGAGTCGGGAGGGCAACGTTTGCATCCGAAGTACCTTCAGAAAGACGGAAAAATGACAATATTCAATGTTGGTAGCTGGAAAAACAAGTTTCTAGTTATCTGTTTTCTAGGCAGACGTCCGATCGCAGGGAGTTTATTTCTGCTACGACGACCACTCGAAAACCTCCACAAACGTCTTTTATGTAGTCACAGCAATGATTCCGCCAGTAAAAATCACTACCAATTTCCCAACCAACTATAGTAAACATCTTTCTTCATTTTATCATTGTTAACAGTCATTTCTAGATGATAAATGCGCGAAAAAGAGCGGTGCCGACGACAAAATGATTTTCGCCTCCCACAACTGGAGGTATGATTTGTGGAAAAAAAAAGAAAAAGACTTAAATAAGGTATCGAGACGAAAAAGGCTTTTGAAATGAATGAAGTGAAATGTTTATTGTTCGCTCAAAGACTGTTCTGTGGCGTGGAGGTCGAGAACCAGAAAAGCTATATTTTAAGTTTATATTCCAAGTTAAGTAAGAATTATACGCCTGGAAACTTCCCAACAAGGGTTTACGAGCAGGCCTATTGTTCAGTGTTTTTCCTCCGAAACCAAATAAAAATAAATGTAAGATTATTTCTAGATATCATTTTCTGCCGTTGCCGTCGTTGAAACCTCCGCCATCGTGCTCCTTCAGTCCTGACGACCAATCTTGCGTCTCTTCATCAAGAGTATCTTTTCTATTTAATTTAAAGATTCCTTGAAAAATCTGCAGTATAACTACATGAACAATGCTTCGAATTTCCCAGTCAACTTTCAAAAAGGTTGCTCGATGGATTGGTGCAGGTTTGTTGAGAAAAAAAAAATCTTTCAATATCATTCTGATCACTCTTTTCTGTGGCTAACGTTCTTGCCCAATTCTTCTCCGAGTCTATTAATTAACTTGAGAGCGCGTTTGCTGCCGCCGCAAAAAGACGCGAACTGGACCCTCGACGTCTTTCTCGAGCTGCGATGGGACGAATGGACGTCCTGCAAAGACGGACTTCCGCTGAAGCGCCGCGAGGCTCATTGCTACTTGGTCCGTGGCGACGGAGTGCAGATTCCAACTCCACTGTCGACGTCCGGATGGACCGACGAGTTCAACTGGATCTCGCATCTCAACGACGTCTTCAACCGGCCTCCTTTCGACGTCCAGGGCATCCGACTCCACAGGTTCACTCTTTGAATTTACAGTTCGTACTCAACAATCAACAGCTCTCTTCTCGTGTCGAAAATCAGCGGAAGGAAAAAGTTAGAGTTTTGCCAAGTCGGTGGCGGTGGCTCTAGTTACGAATTGGTTGGGGAAAAGTCTACATTGATTGAAATTATTTCGATTTAGTATGATAGAGTCTGGAGAATCGTATTCATGCGCACAATGGGACTGAAAACCGAAGATGGCAGTTTTATTGAGTCTGACGAAGATGGCGAAATTGATCAGCTCAAAAATCCTTTCACCGCCTGTTTGAGGTAACTTTTTTCTCCATCTCCACCGAATTTCCATGTTTCTTATAAACCAGTTGCTTTAGTGAAATTAAATTTATAAAATTAAAAACCTAAAAAGCTTCAAATTTTGTTCAGATATGGAAAAACGGACAGCGTCGAGCACCTAATCGGAACATACATGACGGAGACTGAATACTGTTGAACAATTGTTTATGGAAACTGGGAAATGAAGCTGCTTATGCCAATAACTTTTCTTGTTGGGCGCGTTCCTCTTCGATCTCGGGATTGTGCATGCCGAGGGAGAACTGATAGAGCCAGCCGCCGACCAAAGAGCCCAGCAAAGGAGCGACGATCGGCGCCAGCCAGTACCCCGTATAAGGCTCTCTCAAATACTCATCATGACCGAAGGAACTTTGGTTCGGAACTCACTGGAAGACCCCAGCACCGTAGACGAAGAATGAGAAGAGACGAGGGCCGAAGTCTCTTGCCGGGTTGATAGGATAGCCCATGTTCATTCCGAAGGCCGTGCCGATCATCATGATCAGGAAGCCGAAAATCATTGGATGCCACACTTTTGGGATCTGATTGCGTTCGTCGATCACGACGCAGAGGAAGTAGGCGAGGACGGCGGTGCCCACGATCTGATCGACGTATGGACCCCAGAATCCGAGGTAAGGATTGGGATAGCTGGCGAAGCAACCCGCCGATCCCGTCGCACCCAGGACTGCTCTAACACCGCCGTCGTAGGCTTGGAAGGCTTCTGAAGTTCATAGGAAGGAGTACTGTAGCATACTGTGAGTGAAAATTTTCGTGTCAAAAAATGTTCAAACTGGTCAAAAGCAAAATAAGTTCGCAAGAGCAGACTCAAACAAAATTTTATAAAACTCCCGTCAGCTTGGAAAATAAATCAGACTGGACTCACTTCTCTACTTTGAACCAAGGAGCAACTATGAATGAAAATAGAGACTGTTTGAAACTCCCATTCAACGAAAAAAAAAGTTCATTTATGCAACAAAAAAAAAATTCTCTTTCACCCCCTTTTTTTCAAAATTTCATCGCGAAAAGTGCTTCACTCCCTTTCTTTTTCTCCGTTTTTACGGAAAATTTTGATTTTTGGCTTTTTAAGAAATATTCCATTAGTCTTCAAACGAAAGAACTTACCATAATAATATCCATACATGGCAAGAGATGCAACGAAAGCCCCGGCGACTTGGGCAATCGAGTACAAGAAGACGTAGCCGAGCTTCAAATGACCCAGCGACCACAGGAGAAGGGAAACTGCTGGATTCAGATGACCTCCTGCAAGCTGGTCATTTCAAATATTCTTTCATCAGTATATTCCAGCCACTTCAAGGATTATTAAAAGAGCACTCATTTCATACTTTTTACTGATTCCTCGATAGTTTCAAAAAGTCAACTATCGGATATTTGTGTTTGAGAGGAGAAAATATTGAACTCGAGTCTAGCATGCTACCTTGAGCCGAGACAATGCCGTTCTGTTTATCAATCTTCTCGCGATCGCAACTTCCGACAGACTTTGTTGGCTTTTCCCAACTGAACTGACGTCTGACGTAGACCAATCAGCTTATAACCGCTAATGCGTTAAATAAGTATTCGATTGACGGAGAGGAGGTCAAGAATTTCTCAACAGACCAGAGAAACGGGCGGTGGCCATGACGGCGAACATTATGGCGAAGCCCCAGCCAATGTTGACGCCGATCCAGACGGTGAACACGCCGCGGCCGAGGTGGAACTGGGCCACATTGCACAGACCGATGAACTGAAAGCCTTCTGACAGAAATTATGTGGAGTTTTTGCTTGTTTTTTTCTGATCTCATTATTTCGAAAATAGTTCTCCTTTTCATTTTCAAAGCGATTTTGCAAAATTCAAAGTAGCCGTCAGAGAGTGGAAAAGATAACTGAAGTTTGGAGAGTCAGAGATGTATTACGCCGAAATCTCTGAGCACGGAATTACCTCCTCAGAACGTTGGAGAGATCGAAAATTTGAAGTCTCACTAGGGCATGGTCTCCGCTCGACAACGAGTTGAGAATTGAGACTTTGTGGGTGAATAGGCCTAGGTGAGAGTACTCGGAATCAAAAATAAAATTCTGCTAAACCCCACAGACGGGCGAGGAAAAGCTCGTCGAAAGTTTTCCAGCGCGCATATGGCCGCGCTCGGAGCCTTCGGCTAGTAACTGGCGGCGTGGTGTAGTGGGTTGTGATCTTGTGCATTATCAATATTGTGACCAGGGTTCGAATCCTTTTGGCGGAAATCGTTTTTGCCGGCTCATAACTATTCCTTTCTCATTTTTTTGGGATATTTTTTTCAAAAATCTACAATAAAAATTCACAAAAATCACAATAAAAACAAAATACTGATTTGAAATTTTGTTTTTTCGTTTTTTTTTCTCTACTTTATGGGCAAACGGAGAAGAAAACGATCTGTTTATGAAAATTCACTTCGAGTAGATATGTTATAAAACTTTGAGCTTTTTTTAAAAAGCGATTATCTGTCTTTTGGATACGTGTGTATCAAACGGAAACATAGTAACACGATAAAACAACTAAAATGAAACTTTTCCGTTCGTTTTCGCGTTCCAAGTGTCAGAAGATATGGCGATTTTCGAAGATTCCAACATAAATTTGGGCGAAAGAAGCTTAACTTTAATAACTATGCTGCCGATTGCCTGTCTTCCAACAAAAATATTTAAGAATAACCTCCTCAACAGTTATTCAACACGAGAAGAAAAATTTGGCATGAGAAAAAGAGTAGAAATAATAATTTTCTACAAGTTTTGATGTTAATTTTTGAAAAAAAATATCCCAAAAATGAGGAAGGAATAAAGTTATGAGCCGGCAAAAACGATTTTCGCCAAAAGGATTCGAACCCTGGTCACAATACTGGTAATGCACAAGACCACAACCCACTACACCACGCCGCCAGTTGCTAGCCGAAGGCTCCGAGCGCGGCCATATGCGCGCTGGAAAACTTTCGACGAGCTTTTCCTCGCCCGTCTGTGGGGTTTAGCAGAATTCTATTTTTGATTCCGAGTACTCTCACCTAGACCTATTCACCCACAAAGTCTCAATTCTCAACTCGTTGTCGAGCGGAGACCATGCCCTAGTCAGATGCCCCCATAAAATTTCAAAGTTGTTATTCAGAAGACGAGAATCTTTCTACTCTTAATTTCAGATTCTCTTCGAAATCAGCCTAAAAAATCCTCGCAGAACAAATGAAAACCTCGTAAAATTATTGTATGCAAAGCCTCCTAATTTTCTGAAAAAGTAATAATAAATCTTTCTTATGAGGTTCATATTTTTGTCTTTTTGTCCGAATTTTGAAGCTTTCCTTTTTTATTTACAGACTAAATTTGAGGAAAAGAAGCGCAACAGGCATGTACTATATTCGCCACAACTTTAAGCAGTCTGGATTGTCTGAATCTTTTCCCTCTTTTGTTGACCTGTTTTTTTCACCTTTCTAGCATCATCCTGGTGAGGAAAAAAAGACACAGAAAAGACCAACTTTTTCAAGTTTTAACTAAGGAGATATGAGAAAGTCTCACTTATTGAAATACCACATTCATGAAATTTTCGAGAAATTTCTTTCTACACAAAAGGATATCATCCGAAGTTCCAATGAATTCGTATTGATTCTCGCGATGTTCTCTGCGAGATTTTTCAATTGTTTGTTCGAAAACTTGAAGCAAATAGATAAGCACAAAAAGTCAATATCTTGCAGATGAAATCCTCCCTCCAAAGTCAGTACTTTTCACGAAATTCGAAACAAAGCCTGGTTTTTATTGATGGTGTGCTTTGAAAAAATACACAAAATGAAGTTAGCAAAATTTAATTTTTATTCACAAAGGTTCTGAGAAACTTCAAGTGATGCCTTTCTTTTTTTTCCACTTTTATTCATTAATAATCTTCTCGGAGATCCTCCGGACTGTTTTATAATGCAGAAGTATGTCAGAACTACTGAAAACGGTTCTCTTCTTCAATGTTTTTCGGAAAATTTCTGTGCTTTTTCAACGTTCCGATAAGAATTTTCGAGTAGACTGCTTTGAACTCGGAATCAATTTTGAGCAAAGGTGCAACTGAATGAGAATTAAAAGTTTCAGACTTACACACAAAAGGAAAGTGCCGACAAACTCAGAAAGGACGTTGCGCAGAAGAACATTCTGGATGCCGTGCTTCGCAGCTTGTCCGCAAAAACCTCCGTCATGGCTTAATCTAAGGAAACCGATCAAAATATCGAAATGAAAAATGTTGCTGAAGAAAGGTTTATGTAACGGATCTTGGTGTGAGAAGTGACAAAAAGGTGAAAATCAGGAAGAGATGCGCTGGGAGTACGTCCGAGCAGCAAATGGGGCAAACACGCGAGTTCGATCTGGAGCGGCGAATTAACAAACCGTTATCAAATAATGCGGTGTTAAGACTCTTCGGGACAGCTTTAGGCACAATTTGTTCGTTGAGCGACCAGGAGAGGAACTCATCAATTTCAACCTTTAGCCGATGGTCAAAAAAACGTATAAAGCTGTGAAATGAAATTAATAAAAAAATATTTATGGAATATTTTCAATTTCAGTATCAGAATTTTAAATTATAAGGTAGGATCCGCATATCACTGCAATGTTTTTTATCATATCAAATTATCGGGGCCTATTAAAACGAAAAACACATACAGGGCTGCTGTACTCAATAAAAAAAAAGGTAGAGAAACTGATAAGCTCAAGCTGCCCCTCTCTCATGGCTACGGTAACTCTCTCCGCTAGTTTTGTGTTCCTCTGCGGACTAAGCATTTTTCTCAACACGCCACATAATTTCAAATTGTCATTTACATTTTTCACTTTTCGTTTTTTTAAAGATTAGATTATTTTTTTCGAAAGTTTTTTTCTGATGGTTCAATAGAAGAAAAAAAACTTACAAAATGAAAAACTTGTGGCATTTTTTTATAATTGACATTTTGTTTTTATATCTTGAAAAAAATTTTTTTAAAGTTTTTCATCGTTCCATTTCGGGTAACGTTTTGATGTGATATCAATAAGTTTGAAATTTAGCGTTTTATACGAGTAAATAGTTTAAAAATTTTTCTTAAAAAAAGATTTCTCAAGCCATAGGAAGAAGTTCAAGTTTTTAAAAAAATATTCATTATGAAATTTTAACTTTTGCAGCTCATAAACGTTTGAAATAATGAGCGATACTGAAATGGCTGATGTTAGCTCATCACAAGGCACTTCTTCGGCTTTCTCAGAGGTTTTTTTTCAAAGTAATTTTGATTATGTTGGAAAAAGTTCAAGGTATCTAAATATTCGCTTAGTACGATAATAACGGGTCACAAGTCGGATGTAAAAGCAGTCGTTTTGACTCCTTCCGGATCGTTGATTACAGGCGGGCGCGATGAAACTATCCGATTTTGGAATAAAAAGTTTTTTTGTTTTCAAGATGTTGGGTTAATTTTTTTTTCAGGGCTGGTGAGTATCAGGAAACGCAAAAACTTGTTCAGCCGAAAGGACTCATAGTAAATTCCTTGGCTTATTCGTCTTCTTCCGCAGGATGGAGGTGAGTTCCAAGGGAGAATAAAGTGAGAAAGATGGATATTTCAGGTTGTTCGCCGGAAGAAAAGATGGTTCTATTGCGATGTATGCCAGCGGGAGTCAAGAGCCAGTCACAGTCGTCAAACACCATCAGAATAACGGTTTCAGGCCGTCCTAAACGTTTTGTGTATTTTCGATGATTTCAGTTTGTTGTCTTCACGTCGACGACAAGAACGGCGTCCTCCTCAGTGGTTCTTGGGACACGCACGTGATTGTTTGGCCCATCGCCGAGTTTCACACCGACGTGATAAATGTTGGTTGTGCTGTATTGAGAGTCATTTCGATCAGTTGCATCTGAGAGATACATTTGATTCACGCTTTTGCTAATTGTGTTCTCAAAAAGGGATGATATTATTCTGTAAAATTCTTGAAAATTTTCCAAAAGCTCTTACATATTTAGCTTATCTTCGATCTTTTTTCAGATCTTTTGGCTCGCTCAAAAATTTTTGAAGAATACTTTACTTTCTACCACAAACAAGTGGATCATTATCATATAATTTAATCTTTGAACTTGTTTTTTTTCCCCAGAAGTAGCAATCAAAGAGCTGTAATTACGTTTTGAAAAAAATATTTTTAAAGTAAAATTTATTTTTTTTTACCGTTTGAAACATTTTCAAAATAAGAGCGTAGAAATGTTTCTCTCGCTTGTTATTTTAAAGATCTTTTCGAATGGAAGAGAGCAAAAAAAAATTTTTTTTTTCGCTTGAAAGTGTAATTTTCTGTTTTTTCGTACAGGAATGTGCATTTAGTTTTTAGAACCTTTTTTCAGGCCTTGCTTCTGGATGGCCACACAATGTCGATTTGGGCACTTGCGACGTTTCCCGACCATCCTCAACATTATTTGAGCGCCAGCGCCGACAAAACGATCCGTCTTTGGCAAAATGACGTCATCAAGAAAGTTTTCATCGGTAATCTAACTTTAATGAGTCTTTATTCGAGGTTTCAAAAATTCCAAACATTCCAAAATTTATATATTTTATCTGCGTATTTTCGCTCGATTCTGAGCTATTTATTCCTAGGATTTTGTGCTTTTTCATGTACTTTTTTTAGGCCACACGGACGTCGTTCGCGCGCTTGCCGTCATTTCAAACGGGCGGTTCATTTCTGCCTCAAACGACGGAACCATCCGATTGTGGGACGTGGAGAGCGGATCTTGCGTCAACAAGTTCCAAAATATTTCCGAGGACTTCATTTATAGGTTTGTTCGACTTCAAGGAGTTGAAAATAACTGAAAAAGCTTTTTTTAATCAAAATGTGTGAAAAGTTTTTGCTAAATTTCTTCTTTATTTTTTTAACATAATAATTTTTTTGTTTTTTTGAGAAATTATTTTTCACTTTCTCCCATGTAGTGCTCCAAATTTACTTATTCAGTATATTTTTACTGAACATTTCTTCAAAAAAAGACTATTTGGATATATTTTTCTAACTATTGTTAATCACTTTTTTTCATGTATTATATTATTAAAAAAATCCTCGCCGAATAGTATAAAAATTTCTAATAATTTGAAATAACACTCAAAACGGTTCTTTTTTCGAAAATTTCCCATGCTCCAAGTAAAACAGCAGAAAATTTTTGTATGCCGTTTCTATTTCAAAAGCAACATCTTCTTCGGATTTAAATTCAGCGAAAGCGAAAAAAAAAATCACCTACGGAAAAATATCATTTTTCGATAAATTTTTTGATTCCAGCCTTGCCCTGAGCGATTCTTTCGTGTGCACCTGTGGCGAGGAAGGAAATCTCGAGTTTTGGAGTGTTAGCTCTGATGGAACATCTCACAGGCTTGAATTCTGAAGTTGTTGTCGAGATTCATCCGAAGGTTTCAGCTTCAAGAGCGAGTTTGTGGTGACGACGCCGGCGACGACGACTTGGGACGTCAAGGTCCTGCCTTCATCGGACGTCGCTGTGTCGGCCAGGTACCTTCCTGCGGGATTATCCATTTCCTATAACGTATCTTTCAGCGATGGGAGAGTCTATATTTTTACGAAAGATCCGAGTCGCGCGGCGCCCAAGCAACTCTGCGAAGCTTTTGACGCCGAAGTCGTCGCGAAAGTTTCGATGATGATGAATAGAAAACAGGAGGTTAGTTCTCAGAAAAGAACGAAGCTTGTTCCAAAAGCCAGAAGTTTGCCACGAAATAATCTAGAATTGTTTCGAAGCAAGTACCGGTGAACCCTTTTTTGTTTTGAAACATGTCGCATTTTCCCAATGATCACGCCATAAGTGTTCTATGCTTTAGGACAGCACAGTTGTGATAAAAGTGGCGCTGGACGACGGGCCGACGAAAATGGAGCTTCGATACAAGAAAGGCAGTGATCCTGCGGTGGCTGCAGAGAACTTCATCACGGAGAATCAATTGCCGATCAGCTACCTCTCCGAGATCATCGAGTACATCTGCACCAACATTCCCGAAGCTCGAGCTTTTCAAGAAAAGCAATTTTTGCGACGCTCCGTCAAAAAGACCGAGGTCGACGGCGTGGTATGTGGCACTTTTTTGACGTTTTAAGAAATATACCCTTGAGTCATCTTGATTGAAAAGAAAAGATTTAAAGTTTGAGAAAAACACGGAATTTAAGAAATTGACAAGGAAGATTTTTACCTTTACTGTTTACTGTTTATTGCATCTTCTATGTAAGAATACATGTGCAATCGACTTTCATTGATTTAACTGTGTTTGAACGGCGGCAGGAGCTTTGGCTTAGGCAGAGAAGTTGTGAATTTTGCTCGTAGAACGTCAGGTACAAGAGAGGTCGTAGGAAACTGCATGCAGCGAAAAGGCTCAATCTCTGCCATCGGCCTTTGGAAAGCCGGCACCGTACTTCTTCCTACAATCTTCACCTTAGTACTTTGAAATTTCAAGAAAATTTTTTTCTATTTTCTAAAGCTAATAAAAGTTGTTCTGTCTTTTTTTTCAGAGACTTTTCAGTTCAGAAAAAAAAATCAGCTTAGAGTACAAAAGCATCAAAAGAAGTTTTTTCCTCATAGTGAACAGAAAAAGGATAGCTCTTGAGTTCTAAAGTTTTCTATTTAGCTTTACGATTTCGTGGTCGACGTGGATTTGAAAGAGAAAGGCCGAGCGAAGCTTCTCTTCAACTTCAACGATGACGCGGATCTCGTCGCTCAGACGTTTGTCGAGAAGTATAATCTTTCAATGGCAGCCTTATACGAGGTTCTTATTTTTCGAAGAGTTCAATCAATATTTTTCGTCTTTTGCAGTACTCCAACTTGATCCGAAAGTATCAGGCAGGATCTTCGGCTCCACCACCAGTATATTCCGATCCTTACTCAGGTACTCATCTGTTTTATCATTTTTGAAGAGTTTCTTTCCGTTTTTTTCCCGTTTGTCTAAAAAGATCATTGATGTTTATTTTTTTTTCCGCTTAAATCTGTTTTTCTCATACTTTTAGCTTCCTCAAATTTTTTATAAGTATTATTGTGGGAGGTCGATATGTTCCTTCGACGGGTAGCGGCGGAGCTTTGTCAGGATACGATGATCCTTTCACTGGAGGCAATCGCTACGTTCCTGGATCCACGGCTTCTTCTGCCAATTCTTTCGGAGGCGACCCGTTCACCGGCGAGGGGAGGTTAGAAAAGCGCCAACGGAGGCCAAATTAAGACAATTCTCAGTTACAAGACTTCGAATACGGGCGTTGCGCTGGCGCAGCAGCCTTTGGACAAAAAGAAGCCGCGTGGTGCGTTGGTCCCTGTTCCAGATTTCTTCGTGGTACTTTTTTATCAGTTCTTTGTTTTTTTTTTCAATTTTTGGTTTTCAGAAAAACTCCTTCTTTTTGAAAAGAAATATTTTTTGTTCGCACACAGAAAAATAATAGAAAATTTCTTACTTTTTTTTTTCTGAAAACAACATTTTGTGATAGAATTTATGTTTTTATTCTCAGATGAGTACAGTTCACCGTCAGAAATGAAATGCGAATAAAGTTTTTTTCGCTCACATCTTTCTCGTTTGGAGCTCAATCTTTTCAAAACATTCAAAAAAATCTAACTGAGTGTTAAAAATAACAGTTATAACAACTCTAGAAAGTGTCAAGGAGATTGAGCTTCATACAAAAAAGTTCTGCTCGAAAAGGCGTTTTTCGTATATTTTCTGACTAAACGGAACCTTTATTCTTATGACAAAGTTTGAACTCGAGCACGTCATCACTTTGCGAATGTGTGCCTGATGGACTTGGTTTTCCAGTTCGAAGGAGTTTCTGCCAAAGAAAAGGCGATGGCCAAGTTGCGGGAGTCGAACGGCACGCAGGAGCTTTTGGTCGTTCTGACGCCCGAGGAGTTGAGCAGCCTCGAGGATCTGATGAGCTCGAAGTCGTTGAGCGAGGAGACGTTGGAGCATCTGAAGGAAGCCTTCGGCAAGACTTTCGGCGTGAGTCGTCATCGTCTTAGGTCCTCTCCAAATCTCCGTTTTCAGTGGTCCGTCACCGATCTGATGCCTGTCGTCGATTGTTTCCGATTGGCGCTTCTGCGTCGAGATCTCAACGATTTTTTCTGCGACAAGGTTTAGTTTGACCTATTTTTTTTCTGACAACTGGTCCCAATCTCATAGTTTGCTTGGATTTTCTCAAAAGTTCATGGCTCGATATCAAAGCTCTGAGAAGAGAAGATGACTGTTTTCTCGATAAAATCAAAATTGAAGCTTTGTTTAAGTTTTTCCCTCTAACTTGTTCTTTTTTGAAACAAGTTAAACGAGAGAGTTAAAGTGCAGTGGGGCCTAGCTTTTTGTCACAAATGAAGCATTTCGAAAAATTCAATTTTAAAACAAAAACTCAAAAAATCAGCGATAGGACAGATAGAGTCTGTTCGAAAAATCTTTCTAGGATTTTTCACGAATCAAAAAAATAGCCCAGCCTGAGGACACAAGTTTCAGGAGCGATCTGAGAAAATCATGAACACGTTTTTGGCGATTCTCGTCTCAGACAGCATCGAGCCGCCGCTGAAGACGTTCGTCTGCAGATGCATTGCCAATGCCTTCAAGCATCCCGCCGGAGGACAACTTTTCGTCTCCCATGAACTTTCCACGTTCTCTTCGCTCATCCTCAAGCACTTGGTCCATGGAAAAGCTGCACACACGAGAGTTCGCATCTCCCCCCAAACAGAAGTTGATCGAAGGGTTCTCAGGTCGCCGCCGCGTCGGCTCTGGCCAATTTCGCCCTGTCTTTGCTCAGACAGTCGCAGGAGTGCTGCGAACTTGGCCGTCGCGAAGACGTCTTACGTGCCGTTATTCAGGTTCGCCTTTTTCCCTTTATAAAAAAAGCTAGCGGAAAACTTTCTATGAAAACTCTGCAAAAGATTTTTCACCATGGTCAGGCTTTTTTTGCGCTCTACTTATAAGCATTGCAAGAGTTTTTCGGTTTCGCCGCGTTTCCACAATTTTCAGAAATATTTTTGTATTTGTAGAGTTATGGTCTTCGTTTCTCTTGCTCGTCATGACGTTTCTGTTATAGGAAATCGAGCCTGTCCCATCTTTCGGCGATTTTCCACCAGACGCTCTCGTACGTCTTCTTCAGGCCATTGTAACCCTCATGTGGGGCGATATCTCGATCATTACGGTACTCAATCTGCTTCAAAGAGTGCCCCTCAGAATGATTCTTTGCAGTTGGCCAAGTCGAGGAACATGGCCCAGTTGGCGGCGCGTCTCAAAGACGCGGCGCCTGAAGAAAGCGGCGGCAAGGAAGTCGCTCGCGACATTGTGGAAATGACCTATGCCGTTTGAAAGTGTCTTCAAATCTAATTATTTATTTATTTGCCCCTTTTTTGTGCCTTTTTCTTCTGTGCGAAGCTAGAATTTTTCACTATTGGAAATCCATATGGTTTATAACTAGTTCAATTAACGTGTCCTCTTTTACGGTCACTGTGAAAAACGCTCTTTTTTGAGGCTTCCTGCATAGACGCGTTTATAGTGGCATGCTGGTGTATATTTCTGTGAATGGCATATGAACGATACGATAAAGTCTTAAGTATTTTTCTCCGAATTTTTGCTTGACGAACACGATTTTTCGAGGAGTACCTATCTCAGAAATCTTGTCTGAGGTGATCATTAAAAGAGCCTCACGAGGGCCAATATGGTAAACGTAACAGCTCGTTTGACACTTGAAACTTTTATTCAGTCTTCAGAAAAGGTTCTCTGCTGAATCATGGAATAAATGAAGAGTTTTTTGTCGGTTCGCGGTTATTATCTCATTTCTACTACCCGAGTGGTCGTTCTTCAAACGTAACAGCTCAATATGTTTCAATTCCAGTATTTCGATTTTGTTCAAAAATAGCTGACTAGAAGGTGTCACAATTTGAGATAATTCGATCCTGAATCTGCTGAAATCAATAAAAAAATCTATAGCCTCAGATGAGCTTGAATAGAACAAAAAGTTTCGACAAATTTTGCAACTCATTTTCTCCAATGGGAACTTGACACTATAAAAGACTTTGAGTCTTGAGATCTTCCACATCGTTTACGCATCATATTTTTCTTAGGCTTGTTCAATTATCAAGTTCAATGGAAAAAAAATTGAAGAACAAAACGATACAGCGGCACTTGGTGCTTGGATGCATTTACGAGGAGCTGCTCGATTGGCGCGAAGTTACAATCACAACAGCATCATGCCCAATCGCAAAACTGCCGCGATTCTAGGTGAAGACGAGGCGAAAAGTGAACAGAGAGCAATTTTTATTCAGTTATCGGAGACGAGATTCTGAAAGGAACCACAGTCGACACCAATTCGAACTTTTTGTGCAAAAGGCTACATGCTCTCGGTGTCAATGTGAGAAAGGTATACATGCCTCCAAAACATATATCACAAAGGTTACTTGGATAGATTGCGGTGGTTGGAGATGAAGTGGAAGAGATCGCGAAGGAGGTGAGTGAACTGAGCCGCAGAAACGACGTCGTCATCTCCACCGGCGGCGTCGGTCCAACTCACGACGACAAGACTTACATCGGCTAGTCCTCAACAACTTTCTCTTTTTCGCTTTAGTTTTTTTCTTTTTCAAAAACCTCTTTCTTTCATCTGTTCAGTTCTTTCAACCGTTCCCTTCGTTGATTAATCTTTCAGATTGGGTTTAGCCCGTTCGGCGTCGGCTTATCATCATTTTTTTTACTAAGAACTACAGAAGGAATCTTCTTTTTGATGAATTTTTTCGTTATATTAAAGGCGCATACACTGAAGCAGGCCGCGCGCATCGAAAAGAAGCTTTCAGGAAGGGTTCTGTGGCTCGGAGGAAAAAAAAACCTTGATAAGCTGTCGCTGAATGTGCTGTAGGTTTGACTATTACATATCCAACAAACACGAGAAATTAACTTAACTTTGGGGTTTCCGAATCATTATATAGGGCATGAAGTTGAGAAAAGTTTTTTATGATATCCCCAAACAAAAAGTAAACAACTTCCTTCCCAGGACTTGCACGAGCTTTCCACGACGAGTTAACGCTTTCGGCTGAAATTCGCGAGTCGATCAACCGATTTCTGCCGACCTACGAGGCCAAACGGGACAAGGAGCGCAAGAACAGCAACGCGAAGTTCGAAGAAACGGACTCCGAATCAACTCTAAGCGTCGCCGTCGAGAAACTCAGCATGGTGGGCTTCTGAATACTCGACGTCGACGTCGACTTCAGATTCCTCGAAGCGCCGAGTTGCTGTGGGGACGACATCCGACCAAGGGCGACGTCTCCAACTTCCCGGTCGTCAGAATCCGCAACGTCGTCGCCTTTCCTGGCGTCCCCAAGTTTTGCGAACGCGCCTTCGACATGCTTCAGGTATCATTTTTTGCAAATATAATGTATTCACATTTTTTGAGTCAGAACAATAATTTTTTATCAATGAACATTCAATGAATTTTATGATTTTCCATGAAAGTTTCTTTCTGCTTCGCTTTAGTCACTGGAAACCTGTTTTTTGTGAATTCCGTGAGAAAAAAAAAAGTAAATAAGTTGTCGCGTGAGGTACGACGTCTTCTGCACGGTTGGGCGATATTTTTTCGTAGTGGAAGTCTTCTTTCCCAGATAGTTCATAAGATTCTGAAAAACACAGGATCAACTCTTCCCGCCGCAAGAAAGGCCTAGATTTTACGCCGAAACATTCTTCACGGATCTCGACGAGTTTGAATTCTCGAAGAAGCTGACGGCCCTCGCGGCGAAATTCGAAGGAAGCAGCGTCCAAATAGGCAGCTATCCTGTCGTCAAAAACATGTTTGGATCTCAATTCACTACTATTGTTTAATGCAAGCCTAGGTATTTCAAAGCCAAGCTCATTGTGGAGTGTGAGGACACGGAAAAACTGGGGGAGGTGACGGCTGAGATCAAGGAAATGCTCAAAGGTCGGATTTCGTTCGGATTTTATTAAGTTCAGAGAAAAGTTAGCGTAGCCTCTACGTGGTAAAATAATTCAAAAAAATTAGAAAATTCGACTACGTGCTCTTTGACAATCTTGTAATCTTTCACGGCAAAATAAATTTAGGAAGAAATTTTATTAAGGATCCAGAAATGTAAATTTTCGAACGAAAAACGGGCGTGCTCTGGGCTTTCCTGAGCAAGTCTAGAAATAAAGAGTGTTGGCGCCGCTAAAGTTGCCACTGGAAATGCTCAGAAACGTCCAATTCTCTTTATCGAGGTCCCAGCAAGTAGGGCTATTTTTGATAGCCGTGGAGCACCCTTTCATGTGATATCTTCACAAATCAGACCTGTCCCACCTCATTCTTTAGAGACTAGTTCATTTAAGAATTGAAGCTAATAAACCTAAGAACTGCAGACCACATCATCTACTATGATGACTGCGCCTGGATCGACAGCCCCAACAAGTTGAAGGCCTTCAAAGAACGGGAGAAGGTCAGCGACGCCGAGTTCGTGAGCCGACTCGAGGAAGCCGAAAAGATAACCGAGAAAATCCTGGAAGAATATTCGTCAGTTCACTATTTGGACGAGTCGAAAACTTCCAATTTCTTTAGCCTTGACCAAATCGCCTTGTCTTTCAACGGCGGAAAAGACTGCACAGTTTTGCTGCATCTGCTTCGAGCAAAAGTCGATGAGTTGAGATTGTTTCGGATCCCATTTCGGAACGGATTTCTCTCAGGAAATACGGTCCGAACGTGCCCATTCAAGGGTTCCACATTATGGTGGAAGACCAGTTCCCCGAGGCGACGCAGTTCATCATCGACTCTGCTCTTCGGTTTGAATGATCAATTTCAGACAGAAGAGTCCTATAAATTATTTCGAACAGTTTTAGCTTCATCTTATTTCTAAGTTTGTAACCACTAAAAAGTTTCGAATGAAAACTTCAGTTTTCCGAATTTTCTTTGCCATTTAATTAACGCAGAAATCTGCATTTTCCCCGCAAGTCGGTTAAATTTTCCGCCTTTTCATTCATTCGCACAAATTATTTTTTTAAAACTTTTTTTTCATCAAAACCCTGTTATTATATAAATCTCCAATTCTACGATTCTCCGTACCATTTTAGGCATATCATTGACAAGCAAAAAATATTACAACGTGGAAATTTATCTCGAAATTATCATAACTCACATCAAGCTCTTGAAACAAGGAAATGAAAAACTGTTCCGATTCCAGCTACAACATCACGGTGTTAGAATTCCCTGGCCCTCTTCAAACCGGCCTGCAACTGTTGAAAAACCAACGGCCGCGAGTCGTCGCCGTCTTCATGGGAAGCAGAGCGAGCGATCCGAAGGGAAAGTACATGAAGTGAGGCTTCTCCGATTGCTTTCCGGCAGCCTCGAGTCCAGGTCGCCGGTCGAGTGGACCGACAAAAACTGGCCTCAACTTCTGCGAGTCTGTCCGATCCTGCAGTGGAGCTACAACGACGTCTGGCAGGCCCTCAGAGGTCTCTGCGTTCCTTATTGCGTCCTGTATGACCAGGTTAGTTATTTAGAATGCTTTCCATGTTTACTCTTATTTTAATTCATATGTTCCTATTTTATTCCATCTTAATCGCTAAAGTTGTCAATTGAAGGGCTACACGTCGCTCGGCGGCCGTGACAACACGCGAAAAAACGAGAAGCTCCGCGTCACGGCGACTGATGGACGCGACTTTTTCCTGCCGGCCTATAAACTTGCCGACGAAGCTTTCGAACGAACCAACCGATCCAGTATCTAATCTTTTTTAATGCTCAAAGTATTCCTACTAGCTACAGTTTGCTTGACAATATACATTCGAAAAAGTTTTTTAAATTACGTATATGTTTAAAGAAGATCTGCGGTATCAGGTTTTAAAATATCTGTGATTTTCTAGTCTAGTCGTTGAACTCTTTTAAATGATTGTTGAAAAGATTCATATGTGATAAAAAGTTTACAGCTCGCCGATAAATGTGATTGTTATTGCTATCTGAGACTTGGATTATGTATAAATGAGGAATAACTTTTTTTGAAACAGAAATGAATAATTCTTCCAAGATACCGAGAAGTTCAAAGACGCATTAGGCATTGAATGAATTAATTTATAACAAAACTTATACCTTAAGGGAGAGCTCAGTTTCCAAAAATCAAAATTGGACTAGCCTGACCGAAACTCCTCCCATGGCATAATCAATAATTCCACTGTTCATAATAAAATATTCATAAAAAAACTCTTGTTTAATATTAATCTTTGATCAAAAAAATATTTAGCTTTGAAATAGGCAGAGTGAGAAGGAGTTTTAGCCTTTCAGAACGCTTCCAATTTGTTCAATTGCAAAAAGCTCTTTACAAGATTAAAAAATTTTCAAGTTCTTCTCCAAAAATTTTTCTCCGTTTTCTTTCATTTCCTTTCTGAACTTCTAAAAAAGAATCTCTTCGATGGTTTTCCATGGAAAAGACCACAGGAAGGTTTTATGATGGATTTTTTCATCCCGTAAAATGTTTTTCAGGTTTTCATGGCCTGTAAAAACCCATTCACATGACTATAAACGTTTGGACTTGTGTCTGTTTTCTTTTTTGGTCAGGTCATGAAGTTCGGAAAAACGCTTGTTAACAAAAGAGTACCGCGAAGATGAAGGGGTTGCATATAAATCAGGCTTCTGGCCATCTTCAAAGGATATTGAGTTTCGACCAGTTTCAAGATACTGTTAAAGAAACAGTAAGACTTGACTGGCGAGTTTCCGAAAGTCGAGAGTAACTCGCGATTCGAGGAATGGCGCGCCTCGGCGCACTCTCCTGGGGTCGCACAGTCTCGCCGCGAGCTCCCCACTCAAGACAGATCCAGCCGGTGTTTGAGTTCACCTAACAAAAATCCGTCGTCGTTTCTTTCCCCGTCAGTCTCATCACACACTTTCCTGCAAAATGGTACGTCTTTTCGGTTTTTCCATTGAACTTGGGCACTTTTTACAGTCTGAACTACCGTTTTTTCACGTTTCTCCTTTTTGAAATGCCTTCCACTACTCAAAAACCTAGAAACTTAAAAACAAGCAACTTTATTGAAGTGCAACTGTTGGATTCAGGGTGACGCCGTTGCTGATGCGCTTGAGCAGCTCACCGCCGACCAAATCGAGCGTAAGAAAATGCCAAAAACTGTGAATAGTTCAAAAAAATGCTCTCAGAGTTCCGTAAATACTTCAACATGTTCGACAAGGAAGGAAAAGGCTACATCCGTGCCACGCAGGTTTGAAAGTTTCCGTGGCTTAAGAAACTATCTGAGGGAGTTCAGGTCGGTCAGATCCTCCGTACCATGGGACAGGCCTTCGAGGAGCGCGACTTGAAGCAGCTCATCAAGGAGTTCGACGCCGACGGTTGGTCCTCTGATGGGGAGAGAGGAATGGAGAAGTTCTGCAGGTTCTGGAGAGATCGAGTTCGAGGAGTTCGCTGCCATGGTGGCCAACTTCGTCGTCAACAACGAAAACGACGAAGGCCTCGAGGAGGAACTCCGCGAGGCTTTCCGTCTTTACGACAAGGAGGTTTCTTCCATACTTCTCTTACTTTTACACTTTTACCACTTTATAAAATACTTCACATCTGGAAATTAATGGCTTATTAATGAATCAAGATACTTCTCAAAGTTTAAGATTTGAGAAAAAAGGTTAGCCTAAAAAGGGAATTCAGCTTACTAGGATATCTTAATCAGTCTTTGAATAGCTCAAGTTTTTCCACCTCTATCGTTTTTTCAAAATAATACTCCAACTTTTAAGATCAATTCCTTTAGGTGCCCAGAATTATTATTATCTCCTTGAAAACCTTTGAGACGATAATCGGAATCAGCGAAAAAAAACTGCATTTTTTGGTCTGAAATCCATTCAAAACTAGTTGACAAAAAAGGTAGATAAAATTTTTTAAAATAAATTCATGTTAAAAGCTGGCGGGGAAGCTCTTCGGTAAATATTTTTATCGATTCAGTAACTTTTTGCCCTAAAATTGGTGAACAAGTCAAAAATAATTTACCCGGAAAATTTCGAACTCTCTATAGTAACTCGTAATTTGATTGGATGAAACTCCTACGTTCATTTTTAACGATCAATCGATAATCTCATTTTCTGTCTTTTCCTCCAATGCCTACGGCCAAACGCTGATTTGCCGACGTGTCGGTATTTGCACGGCTCTTGGCGCTTTCGCCGATTTTCGAGGTCCTGAGCAAATTTCTTTCAAGGCGAAGGCTTCAATCCCTCTTAACATTTTCCGACAAGGCAAAGCGACTGGACTGAAAAGAAATCTTCAACTTTTTTTGAACCATTATGATCAAATTTTTATATCATTTTTTCGCTTTTTCTTTGAATGAACATGACCGACGTTAAAAAATACTCCAAAAACGGTTGTAATTTTAGGTCACGACAAATTTTCAGTTTTTTCACGTAGGAGAGCACGGCTACTAGTACATTCATACGAAATGCGAAATGAACCGAAAACAGACCTCTTTCCTTGCAAATGGCTCACAAGAGTGTCAAATATCCCAGAAGAACAACGTTCTCATCGAAAATTGTAACGACTCGAATGGAGATCTTCGCCTTTTCAAAATTCGGGTGATTTAAATGAAAAAGGAGAAATCCTTGTTAGGTTTTCTCTTCAAGGTTCAATAGTAAAATACACAAAGTATTTCTGAATTATTTTTTTTTGTTTGAAAGAGTGCTTCTATAAGTTTTGAAGTGGTCTTTGTAAGATAGACTGTTCGCCAAGTAGTCTTTTCTGTACTATCTTTTCACTCAGCGACGCTCTCATTTTAACACTCTTGTTCCATTTTTTCATGACTCAGTGAGATAAAATAAAGCAGCTAGCTTGATCATTTTCTTTAAATCGCAGCAAACGAGGTAGAAATCATAATTCTTAACAAGTCTTTCTTCAGACTGTGTGCTGATCAGATATTTTGGTAAATTTATGCGATCACTTTTTCTTTTTCGATTTTTTAGCAAAAATTTTCTAATTCAGGGCAACGGTTACATCAACGTTTCGGACCTTCGCGATATTCTGCGCGCCCTCGACGACAACGTCTCCGAAGAGGAGCTCGACGAGATGATTGCTGAAATCGACGCTGACAACTCCGGAACTGTCGATTTCGACGGTCCGTTTCTTTCCATCTCAAAACTCCAAAATTATTTTTTCCAGAGTTCATGGAGATGATGTCCGGCGAATAAAACTCGCCTCCTCGTGTCTGATCACTCTCGATAATCTCCAGTCTTATGTATAAAAATATCTTGGACTTCTTCCCAAATTCCCTTCTTTGGTTTTTCTCCAGAATTTTCGTTCTGTTTAAGTTTGACTTGACTAATAAGATTTTTTGTTTGGAGAGAAAAGACAAAAAAGCACAAAACGGAGGAGGACAAATCGAGTTGTCCCGGAAAGCGCAAGGCTGTTTTTGTCTGGAGTTCTTTTTTCGGCCAACTAATGCTCCTCCTGGGGATCTTTCTCCAGCTCGTCTGATTATGCAGGAAACCTTTTTTCTTGATAGACGCAAAAATTAATCCTTTTCCAGTCAAATTCATGAGTTCTGGTATCCCTAGATTTCTAATATTTTCTACTTTTTTGAACCAAACAAATGGCTCTACTTAATGCAAAGATGCGTCGAAACGACTTTTGTAACTCATGTCCATGTGCTGTGATTGGATGACCGAAAGAAAGGCCGTTTCAGAATCATTCGAGCGAGTAAATAACGCTCCTGGGATTTACACACGCCTACGATTATTAGACGTTTCCCTCTCGTTTGTGGTTACTCGTACGCAATTTGTTTGATTTTGGCCACGTGCCAAAGTTTTCTCGCGGCGGACTTTCAACAAAACTCGAGAAAAGAATGGGAAATGACAGATTTGAAATTTAGGACCCCCAGGAGATGAAAAGTACTTGCAAGCGCAAAGAAACTGGAAAAGTACCTCAATCATCAGCTTTTCTGAAGAAAGGATAAGGAAGAGATTCTCCAAATTTCTCTGAAAAAAAAGAACGGGATGAAAATCCTGAGAGCAGAACTTCTCTTTTTCGAGAACGGATATCTCGGAGTCCGCTTTTGTGAAGACAAGAAACTAGAAATTTCAAGCTTCCGTTCTTGAAAACCAGCTAGTTTTGCAGAACCAAGTTTTCAATCCAAAATTAGCTTGAACAAAAATCAAACTTTTCAGGAAATGAAGTGGAAAAACCAAAAAAGAAGCACCTCAAGTGGCTTGCAGGCGCTCGAATGGGCGGAGAATCGGCGGCAAGCCACGCCCACAATTTCCGGATAGGGAATTTTCTGTATGTCGTAGACCAACCAAACATCGTTCCGGCAAATCAGCCGCCATCATTCTGCGTTTTGGGCCGTTCCATTTTTCTTCTCAATATAATCACAGTCATTATAGTTTCTGAAAAAAATTCTGGTCGCGTGTAGAATGGTTCGTGGAGGTCCGATCCAAAATACTAACAAGTGCCTGCTGCTTACAAGGAAGCTCACTTTACTTTGCGGTTGGAAATTACTCAAAAGTTCGCCAGGACACTCCTTGACTAACCGAAAAAAGTTCCTGGAAACCTTAACCTGCAAAACTTTCTAGCTTTCGTGAAATAACGGCTCATAGTCCCAAAATGGCCTAATTTAACGGATCCTGTTTTTTTTTGCAGCTTAAAATTTTCAGGATTTTTTCCGATTATTACTATGCAAAAATTTTCTTTGTGGTTGAAACTTTCGGGAAATTTTCAACCACAAAGCCCCTCAGTTTTCGGAAATTCTCATGGACTCACAAAATTCTTTTTTTGGTAAGAATCACAATCGTAACACTTTGACCCATTCCCCGTGTGACCAACATTCTTCAGATCATTTATAAGATGCTCTCTTTTACTTGTAACATTTTCGTAAATCTCATCCAAGACGTAAAAAAAAGTCAAAATACAGCCTTTTATTTTCTTCTCCAGGCGACATCCGAAAATAGTTAACTATGCCTAACGAGAAAAAGGCTCTTTTTTCGCTCCTTTTTGTCATTATAGTAAGAAAAATATGATTCTTCGCTCTTGCTGAGAATAACTCGCTGAAAACTACTTGAAAATTAACCAACTCAAAGGGAGCGTTTTCACGCATTGCAGCACCCGAAAGGCTCGTTGAAAGCACCAGAAATGTCCTATCGAAAAAAAGAAAGAAATTCTAAAACAAAACTAACTTTACCGCGGCTTTTTTCGGGATCCTCGCATCGGAAAATGGGTGAACTCCACGGACCTACTCACTATTGCACGGCTTCATTCACGGGAGCGTTCTTCCAGTAACACTTTTTTCTTTGTTTTTTGTTTTGGGACAAACCCGAGGTCTCACATTTTGCCTGGGAACAGACGTGCAAAATGCTGAGGTACTTCGAGAAATTCATTAGGTGGTACTGAAAACGGCTAGGCTAGAGTTTCAGATGAGATAAACGGAAATTAACCTTAAAAATAGATTTCTTTTTTAAAACTTGTTTAGTTATATAAAACCAGAGAATATACTACCATGTTCAACATTTTTTCTCAATTTACAGTAAAGTTCTAAACTCTGTTAAATTTTTAAGGAACTCTGGTCCGAAATTTATCGGTTGACTATTTATTTTTTGCTCATGTCTACTTATTAATGTACCAGAATATTAGCCTTTCAAACAAAAAAAATCAACCAACAACTGAAAATTGAGAAATAAAGGAAGTTTCAGGAGAGTCCGTGAATGCGGAACCGTCTTTTTCTCGTAAAAAACAATCAGGAGCATCTAAAAAGTCCCAAGGGAAAAGAAGAGTTTCTTTTTCGAATATTTTCAGTATGGGTGGTCGTGTCTTTCCTCCACTTTATCATTCATTTTCAAAAAGAGAAAGGCCTTTTTGGAACCACTAAATTTTCAGAAACATGGACATGATCAAAGAGGGAGAGCTTCGCGAGCTGTTCAAGGAGTTTGACAAGAACGGCGACGGCAAGATCACGCGGCACGAGCTCGAAGTGGCGCTGCTCCAGCTCGGCGAGAAGGCGTCGCACGCCAAGATTGAGACCATGATCGAGCAGGCAGACACGGACGGTTTGAAGCTTCCAGTCTCGGAAAAAAAAAACTTCCTTTATTTGCTAACTATTAGACATTTTTCAATCTCAAGGGAGCAGTTTACCTCTTCCGTTATTCGTGTAATATTAAGACAAAAAGAAAGTTCCCCTTTAATGTGCTCTTTGAGTTTCTCGATATGGCGGCCGTTGAGATGAACCGACCACTCTTATGCATAATTCATGATCATCTCGAAATAGCCGATCTCAAAGTTCAGAAGAACAAAGAATATTCGATTGCAACAAGTTCAATTCATATTTGACTTGCAGGCAACGGTTGTATCGACATCGACGAGTTCCTGAACGTGCTCCGACGGCAGCTGTGTGATCCACGAGAAGAGCGCGAACTCCGCGAAGTCTTCAACGTCAGTCACTTTGTCCTAATACCCACTCATATGACGCACAACTAGAACATTAAGCCCTGCAACTAAACGTCGCTATTTCTCTCCACTTGCGACAAAACTCAGAGCTAAACACATGGATCCATAGGACGGAAAAAAAAAACAAAAACACCGAATGCGGCAGTCGTTTCTCTAAACAAAGGGGAAAATTAATGGTGACGCGAGCTGAATAGGCCACAAAGAAGCGCGGACACGCGATATCTAGGAACGCGGCCAACGGCAATTGAGGACGCTAAATAACTGGGAAAGAAAAAAAAACCCCCCACTTTTGCTCTCCGCCGATAATCCCAAATGAAAAAAAAATCAGAGACACCTCTGGTTTTCAAGACGGCAGTTTTTTTTACTATTGCTTTTCAGGTTTTTGATCAGAACGGAGACGGTCTCATCTCTCTGGACGACCTCGTGTTTGTGATGCTCCAGCTCGGTGAGCGGCTCACCGAGTCTGAGGCCAAGGAAATGATTCGCCAGGGCGACATCGACCACGACGGCATGATCGACTTCCACGGTTGGTATTAAAACACTTAAGCCATCAGCAGAGCACAATTTCCGGAAGCCTTCAAGATTAAAGAAGAGCTTCTACTCCATTAAACACAAAAAAAAGCTTGCAGGGGATCGCCATCAATTCCATTAAGATTAATTCTCTCACACAAAGCATTCGCCAATTACAGAGTTCGTCATGCTCATCAAGGGGCAATGACAGCCGCAAAACTGCCGCCGCTTCTCTCGTAAATACCGGTCGCTCCATTATTTATCTTTGACTATCGCTATCCCACAAAAGCCTTGAAAACTATCAATCTTTATGGATGCATGATCTTCTGATGAAAAACTATAAAAATGGAATCTAAAACAAGAATGACACAAAAAGATAACGATTGTAAAAATCTCTCAAAAAAAAAAACAAGTCAACAACAATTCGCAAAATTTCTAGGCTATAACTTTGGCAGAAGAGCCGCCACCGATTCATAGTTTTTGATACTAGTTTGGTGGTACTTGGAGAGGTGAACGGCAAATCGCGCTCTCGCATGGAAAGACTGGGAGCACTGGACACAGGAATAAGGCTTCACACCTGAAAAAGACTCAAAACTGAGGATCTTCGAAGATGAAGAAGGATCGCAGCTTAGCTTGGCTGATGAGAGGAAAAATCCAAAAGAAAGGATCTATAAGCCAGAAGGGAAATCAATACGCGAAAAAAAACCAAAGAATAGCGAATCATTCCAAAAACTGGAAGTAGAAAACTTTCCGTTGCTTTTTCAATAACTTCACTTTTTATTGAAGCTGCAGAGGATTGGCCGAACGTAACTAACCAGAATGAAGATTCATGTGGTCCTGGAGAAGTGTTGGCGAGGCAAACGACTTTCCGCAAACTTTTCCCGATTCGGTCATGAAACCACAGTCGTAGCGTTTTTTGTTTCTACTGCTTTCTTTGCACTCGGCGTAGGCTTTTTCATGAACCTGAAAGGCACTTATGAAAATTCCTAAGAAGTGAAAAAACTCTTGAAGACCCGCAAAAAAAAAAGCGATAATGAGTTAGTTCAATAGCCTTTCACCCCTTTCTTAAAAATGGCTAAAAAAAAAGGCTTATTCGTGTACTGATGCTAAAGCTATCAAAATCATACATCGACTAAATTCCACCCCAGTCTTTTGAGCGCGAAAAAAAAACTTGGAAATGTACTGAAATAGGCCGCACTTTTCGGAGGGTAGACCGCACGCCGGGGTGGGATCCAGCCAACGTATGATCAAACTAAAAAACTCCTTATTTCCAGAGATTAATCACTGGCCAAACGAAGCATCCGCAAAATTAACTACCAGAGTGTACTTTCAAATTGAATCGGGTATGCTGGAGTTCAAACAAAAGATAGCTTACCGATTCTAACTTTATTATGTTTACATACTATTTGGGTGCACTCGAATACTATCCCAATGATATCTTCATTTGCGAGGTCAAAGGGAGTTTTGAAATCATGAAACCGGAGAGCATACCGACAGCTATCTCATCGGGTATCTACTTTTTGATTGATGACCAATATATCTTTGTGAGACTCTCAGACCAAAAGTTGAGTGACCTCTTAAAGAGTTCAAAGTTATAGCCGGTTCACTTTTCAATGTTTGCGAGAACATCGCATTTCTTCGCGACCAAAGTTCTTGTGAAATTCAAAAACCGACCCTCCGCACATGTCTTTTGAGTTTCATTGAACTCATGAACAATTTCCGGCATTTCAAGCATTCGAAGACGCCCACAGAGTCGTGCACCTTCCCCAGTTTGTTGGAACCTTTCTTCTCGTTCAGATCATCATCAGAACATTCTGAGAAGAAAATCTTGACGGAAAACTTCTAGAGAGTAACCTTCTTCTTCCGAAAAATCCTCAAAAAAATGTTCGTCGTCGATTCCAGAAGACAATGCCGAAGAACTTGTGGCCGTGTCGGTGACCGTTGCCAAATCTCGTAGAAAGTCTTCGGGAAGGTCTAGGAGCGATTATTATGTGGCATTAGTCGTTGATTGATAGTACATGGATCATTGGGATTGCTACGCTCGTCACCGTGTACAGATTCGACGTGGGCCTGAAATTCGCCGAGAAGAATCTTCTCGTTGCAACCGTCGACAGTGCACAGAACGCCTTCTTCGTGAGCACTAAAAATTGAAGTAGATTATTTTTTTGTCATAGGATACGGGCCTTAACTTCACGGTTTAAAATACATGACATCCAAAATTTTGCATACGCTTGCCAAGTTACTCAAAAAAAAACCCTTGAAAACTGACTGTTTGATATGGAGATTCATATCGTCTCCACGGAGAGAAGGATCGCAGTCCTCCGGCGTTTCGTAGGAGCAAAAGGGACATTGCTGCTTTACCATCTTGATTTTTTTCCGAGCGACCGGAGACTGGATGAAGATTTTCTCGTTCCCATGAGCTTCCAGTAAATGTCGTCTGAAAAAGGCAAACATAATTTGGTTGAAATTGAAAATAAATGAAAATACAGTACTCTCGGAAAATTCTTTCTGGGTTTTTTCCCGTAGCATGAAGCTTGAAAGCGGAGCAATTGAGTGTTATTTAAAATCATGTAAGGTTTTTGCGTTTTTTTAAAGATTCAGCACTGTTTTTGAACACTTTTGAAAAATAACAGAAAAAAAGGAAAATTGAAAACGTTAAACGATCGAACTATCTACGTGGTTTTTTGTTGGAGAAAAAAAAATTCAACAGATAACCCGAGAAAAAAAAAATGAGAAATAACATTTGAAACAAGAAAAAAGATTCTCACTTTAATCGATTTTTGGCAACAGTCGCCGTGCAGCCTTTGACAGTGCACGGGATCCCGGAGTCGTGCATTTGGAAGGCGTGTCGTTGAACCATGTGAGGTTTCTTCAGAACGAACAATAAAATCGATTAAATATCGTTATTTCAGACCTTGTGAGAATAGTTGCACTCTGAACATTTATGTATTCGTGGATGCACCACGGATCGATGACTTCTGAGCTGTAGATAGCGGTCAAAGTGTTCGCCACATTCTTCACAACGAAACCTTCCTGAAAAAAGAAACCGATCTTTTATGCTTTCCAAATTATTATTATTTTTTAAATTATTGCTTCGAAAAACTTTTTCCAAGCATCCAAACTTGATTAAATGAAAATATCACGCCGCGAAAAACAATTGCAAAACCATTTTCAAAAACTTTCCTAGTTTGCTACGCTGAGATAATGGCAAGACTAAACTTTCAAAAACTCAATAACATGTTCGAAAAAGGTTGTATAGCCATGATGGAAACCAAAGGAAGAGTTTTGATGAAGCCAGTTTTTTGATTTTTACATTATTCCAGCAGTGTTGACTAACCGTTATCATGAGTGCTCAAGTGCTCTTTGAAACGTAATGAGTAAGGCGTGTGATAATCACAGTGTGGGCATCTGAAACCTTTCATTTAAGAAAAAGTCGAAGCTCACGCCCCGTCGCGGGGCTATCGTCAGGTTAACACTCTGCCGTCTCTTCTAGAGACAGGAAATTTGTAAATATTCTTCTTTTCGGGCAACTACTTCGTAATTATGCGGTTGACATTGAAAAGTATAAAAAAGGGGAAAGTTTTGAAAAATTCTGCGCATCTCCGCAGGCCTTTCCAAATTTTCGAAGTGTCTCTCGAAAACGTTTCACCGAAATACCGTTTGGCAGCCGGACGATTTGAACAGATCTGAGCTATGTTTCATTCAAATCCTTGCTCATAAACATCTTATCTTATCACAAAACTCACTTGTATCGGTTCCGGTCCTTGGTCCGTTTCCCTATATTCTCCCCGATTTCCGTTTCGCTCTCTTTTTCAGAGTCCTGAGAACAAGAAGGCTCTTCGAAATCTTCATCTTCCTCCTCTGACAACGGTTCAGAAGACCCTCTCGCCATGTCTCAAAACAGATTTTCGAAGATCTTTAATAACTTGAGAGGAAAAAGTATAACGGATTGAAAACCGTTTCACAAGAATATGAGCGATCAACTGAAGATAGTTCAATTATTTATTGAAAACCCTTGAAAAAATAAAAACAATTAACAATTCACAGAAAAAAAAAATTAAGGACAATCCTAAATTTAAAAAAAACAAAAATATAGCTAATACTCGTGGAATTTTGTCAAGTCGTCGATGAATCCGAATCCGAGTCAGGCGGTAGCAGCTTGAAGTTTGAATGATCGTCCTCTTCTTCGTCTTCCATCTGAGGATTATATTAGAATTTCGAAAAAAAGGAAAAATGAAACATTATCTGGAGGCAAAATGCCGAACTCGGCTGCTGCTTCGGCGGCAGTTTGGGCAGGAGTTTTGGAGATGAACGAAATATCGTCGACCACGTCAGTCACACTGGTCACCGGCTCCTGTCCATTTATTCATTATGATATAAAATGAAGAATTGATAAAAGTTTTGAGAGAGAAAAAAGTTGAAAAAAGAGAGAAGATATGAAAAGTTTTGAAAAAGCCAAAAAAAAAACCCTCTCCTATCAAAAAATGTACCTCAATATCCCATCGCGATTCCATCCAATCGTCCGCCGATTTCATCATTTCCTCCATATCTTCAGTTGCTTTGACGAAGGCTCCGAAGCGATTGGCGGCAATCTGGAGCCGTGAATATAACGCCAATACGATGATCTTCGCTTACATTATGAACTATCTCGTTAGAAGATGCGTTGACGTCATGAAGGAACGCAGTTAGACGTGAGAAATGCTCGGGAACTGAAAATTCTCTCATTTCAAATTTGATTGAACATAAAGTCTCTAGAAAGAATTAAAGAAAGGAAAAAGTCAAGAAGAGTGAAAAAATCTCCAAAAATTGAAGACACGTTAAAGAACAAAAAACCAATTTTTTTCACCTTCTCACTGGCAATGATGAAAATAATTTGGCTGAAGATTGAAAAAACCAGTAAGACTTTGAATTTGAAAAGAGAAACCAAGCGAAAGATAACTTTGGAATCTCTAGTTTGACTCTAGTTTTTGTTTCTTTCAGTTTTCTGATAAAATATGTTCGTTTCCTATATAACAAGCACACCAAATTCTTCTCAGACCTAATTTTCAAGAAAAATAATCAACCCACGATTGAAAGTTTCCAGGCCCAGAGCAGAAAGCTGAGGAGGCGTCGGAGGAGAGTAAGAGAAGCGAACGACGGCAAATCGACGTTCAGAGGCCAAGAAGCCCTGCTCCGGTTGGACGACGCTTGACGGAACTCTTGTGCACTCCTCAAAAAACAACGATTCAAGTTTTTCCTGCAGAGAACCACCAACCCGTATGACCATATCCACTCCTGGAACGAAGAGGTCCGGAAAGGGTCGGTTCTGGCGCAGTCGACGTTTTTCGCCACAGTCGGAATCAAGACGGAGAAGCTCGGGAACACAAGGCGACACGAGCACCAGACATTTGTCCGTCTTGCAGAATGTGTCCACGAGCCAGCGAGACGGTTTCACTCCTGAAACCTTCTAGATTTCACTGACTAGTGAGAATATTCTTTTTTTTCGCTCAATAAATGTTGAGAACTCTATATGTCTCTTAAAAACTCGAAACTCACAACAAAAAAAAAATGACAGAAATTATCCAATGCATCCCAGAAACATATAATAATTAGGTGAATGGGAAAATAGATATTTTTCGGTCGCAAACGTCCACAAACCTGGCACATTGAGCTCCTCTGCGTCGAAGAAAACGTGCGAATTCGCGTCGTTCTTCAGAATCTCGACCAGTGCAGAAACACACTTCGTGTGCTCCTCACAGTCGTCGGAATAAATGGGTAGGACGCGGATGCGACGCAGCAGCGGAAGTTCTTGCGCAGTCCGATGTTTGGAGCGTCTTTGGAGATAGAAGCAGTACAGAACGCCTAGGACCGTCATAGCGGCAAAGATGCCTCAAAGATTGGAGGTTTGAAATTCAATTCGAGCAAACTACATACAGAGAAGGAAAACGAAAAGCTGGACGCCGCTGTCGCGGATCGCCCTGACTGCGCGCCAAGAGAATCCTGCTCGATGCTCGGCCATCGTGAAGTTCAGCTCAGTGTGAGGGCAGACTTGGCATCCCTCCAGTTCATTTTTGATTATTATTCTCCGATTCAGGTCTCAAACCTTAGAAGCCTGGTCACAAATCAGGAGACAATCATGACGTTGGACGTAGGCATAAACTAAATAGTCTCCACTCGGGACGTCGTGCCACTGGAAGCAAAATTTATGATTTCTCAGATGAGAAAACTGACTTCTTTTAACTTTTTCAAAATCCTTGATTTTATTTAATATTCGAGTTTGAAAATAAACACAAAATAGCCAAAAATTAAGAAAAAAAAATAAAAAGTTTTCCAACTTCCTCGATAACTTTTTGAGTTGATCTTTTTTTGAAATGCAAAAATTGAAAAAAAAATTCGATTGTGCCTGTTAGTAACAAACTAGACCTTGACTCCGCTATAGGGCGACTCGACTTCAAAAGATCGCGAAAGGACCAGCGAATCGTCATCTTTTTGCAAATCCCGGCGAAAAACGCGCAACGACACACTCCCAACTGAAATAGCTTGGTTTCTTTCGAAACTGAGGTTATGAAAACCCAAGTTTTCGGGAAAAGGTTGCACTCTGAACCACACTCCATCGACATCGCTCAAATCGAGTATCAACATGGGAGACCACGCGTTCTCCAGCTCATTCTCACTGGTTTCCTATAACCTTCAAACATGAAAAAAGAAACGCTTGCAAACAGAAGTGGTGAGAAGATTTCCAATAATTTTTTTGTAAAGTTGAAAAATTTTTTTGCAAAAAAAGTACCTTCAGAAATTATTTTTGGTCAACTCAAAACTTTCGATAAAATTTTTGGACATCAAATCTGAAACTTTTCCGAATTCCTTTTTCTGGTGTATTATCTATTGATTAACTTCAAACATCAAGAGCTCTCTGCGGGAGGAACTTGTAACACGCAAAAATTATGGTCAACTACCAGGAATGAATTTAAAAAAATACTACATCGAGTGAATTCTTTAGAAAAAAATCAAAAATAAAAGAATAAATAAATCCTAAAACAAGAAACCAACCTTTTTCGATCCTCTTTCTTCGTAGTACTCTTTTATGGATGGAAATAGCTGACTATCTACAGGAGCAGTCACAAGAAGCGTGGATCTGGAATTTCTCATATTAACATCGATAAAAATATGATTTGGAAAAACCTGCATTTCTGTGGATAGACGGTAGCGTTGATAAGATATTGGGAGTGAGCGAATAATCGAAAACAGCCGTAGCCAAAACGGAACGGAACCTCAAAAGCGAAAAGTCGGACACTGTCGAAAAAAAAGAACAACAAACCTCAACGTCAACACCGTTCAATGAAAGTCCCCGACATGGCCACAACCAAACTCCGTTCACCGTCTGAAATATTTAATGAATAATTATTCTCGGATAAACACAAGCTGACCATTTCCTTATGACCATGACAATAAGTGTCCTCGCCGTCAGGAGCATACACGCAATGCAGACGGATGAACAGTGAAGAAACTTTCTGGTGAGGCGTGACCGAAATGTTGAGGTCCATGTAAGGATAACTGAACTCTTGATGGTTAAACCATTGAAGAAATAGAACACACGTGTTGCCGGGGTTCAAAACAGCCGTTGGTGACACATGGAACTCCAGAAGATGAGAAGGACAGTATGGAAGGTTGTCAGAAGGACCTAAATTGCCTTCCTTTGATTTTCCAACCTTGGCGAACCAACCTTTTTGAGAAGCGAGGATCGCGGCATCGCATGACTTGGAATCGGAATATATTTTGATAGAAGAAGGAATATAAGACGAGTTGTAGCGAATATTAGTTGCGTCGTAACATTTATCATTAATTGCGAAGTCGTTCAACATAGCAGAAAAAGCATTGGAAATGTCAAAGATGAAAAATAACAGAACAGTGGGAAGATTTTTGGAAAACAGCATATACGTAGTGGATAAACGAAGATTGAAAGAAATCATCAAACTTTAGCCGCGACCGACTGAAAATACGAATTAACCATGAGCAAATCCGATAAAGGTAAAGATTACCTGCTGCTCTTCGGGTGCGACTTCTTCGTCTTCCTTTTTGGAGGCCGCCTCAATTGCCGCCGCTTCCTTGGCCTTCAGAACTTCGCGATTATCACGCGCTCGAACAAAGGTTTTCGGGTGAATCGGAAAAAGTCCAGAGAGGCCTGCAGAACTATCATTCATTTCACTAAACATTTCATCAACTAAGTTTTAATTATGATTATAAAAAAATTCCGTACCTAGAAGTTCCAGAACAGGAACTGAGACGTGAGCGTTTCGCTCACCTAACCAATATTTCAGCCGTCCGAAATTTAAAGACACGAGTTTTTCGTTTTTCGAATTTGGCAACGGATCGAATGTGCCAACCTAGAAATCACACTCAAAGTTTTTTTTTTCGCGACTTCATTTAACCTGCTCCAAAATGTTACTCTCGTATCTTCGACCTAACGCGCGGTCAGGAAAGACGCAAATGTGGTAAAAAGGCCGATTTGTGCAGCCAAAAAGAGCCAATCCTATCGATGGACGCCCAAAGTACTTTGGAATGACTAGTTTACGCATCGTGGTTCAACTTCGATAGTTCTCGCATATATCTGCAGCTTGCTGTAACAAAAATGAATATTTAAAAAAATGAGCAAGAAAAACATTTTAAAAAAAGAAACGAAAAGATATTGGACTATACTCTGAAAAAATAAACCAGAAAATTCCGGTATAATTCACAACGAAACTTGATAGATTAAAAAAAAACAATAAAAAAAATCGGATCAGTTTCAAATTATCATTTCATTTTAATCAAACCCAACAAAAAATTTAAGGAATTCATGATTTGGTCGGGGGAGAGGGGAGAAGTTCAACAATCTATTCCTAAAATTGAGGAAAAAGTTGGATGAAAGGTTTAAACAATCGACAAAAATGGAAATTTTTGAGAACCGCAGTTATTTTATTTAACGCTGCATGTGCGCCGCTAATAATGAAATACATAATGAACCTTCTTGTAGCCTCGCATAATCTTCTCTTTCCATTTTTCTTAATTCAAAGCTTTCTTCAATCGAAAAAGTACAACGATAAATCAGGTTGACAGATGTCTTCATAGAATTTCATAAAATTGAGTTTTTAGAAATAATTAGAATTTTTTTCAGAAATTGAAAAATGGAAGTCAGATTGCGCTCGATAAAATGCTTTGTCCGTAATGGAGTCTGCAAACTTGCGTGGTTCTTACTTGCTCAAGAAAAAGTTTTTTAGTTAGAGTCCTCAGCTCTCTTGCAAGAGAGATTGCGGACAAGTTACTTTAGAAAAAAGGTGACCGAATTGAACTTTACTTTGCAGTTCCGGAAAAAACAACAGATCGGATGTTATTCAAAATCAATGAATGTGTTAATTCTTTCGACATTTCAGCTGTATTTCAGCTTTTAGAAAGGCTATCAGGAAAAAATTGTACTTCGTCTGCACTAAGACTTTTGGAGATGAGAAACTCATCAAAAAAATTGAAAAAAATTATTAATAATAAAAACCGTCAAATCAATTGGTTTTTTTATAGCTTTTTAATTAAATTAACACACGTTCTCCGAGAAAAGCGATGAACCGTTGGTACAAGAATTTCATGTTTTTGTTTTGAGAGTTGAAATTATTATCATAGTTACTAGACATAGTGTGTAAACTTTTAGACAATTTAAAAATTGATTCTGTAATCATTCTTTGTGAAATTTTTCTTCCCGAAGAAAACTTCAAATTTTTATAATGCCTGCCTTGCTTCCATAGTATATCGGTCAACAAAGGGCACCAAACGCTGGTGTGGGGGTACCGGAAGCTCCGCCTCTTTTCGGACTAACAGACTTGTTATTATTAGGAAGCACCTTATTTTTCTTCGCCCTGACGCGAATCAAGCACTTTGTTCGCTTGAAAAACGACAGATCATATTTACCCAAGTCCTTCAAGTCAACAAACGCTATTCGTTTAAAACTACTTGTCAAAAGCTTCATGTAGACGTGCAACTGTCATGGTTCTACCAAGCCGAACTATTATTCTGTTCTTTTTTTTATTTGTTTTAAGTCAAACAGCTGCGTTTTTCAATTGCTCTAGGCCGAAGCCAACAAGGTCAGTCACTTGATACTACAGTTTTTGGTTACGAACGGGGAGAATTTAAAAAAAAAGAAATGAATTTCTAGGTCCTATCTGCGAAAACTGCTCGATCAAGCCGATTTCGTGGCTACTGCTACCGTCCTTGACATTTACTTCGACGCAGACAAACTTTCTATAGACGTGAGATCTCCTATTTCTTAAAACTTTACAATAAAATCTGGAGTAGGTTGGAAACATATTATTTAGGGAGCAAATAAACTGCAACCTAAAAAAAAGTTAATTTTCAGCGCTTGAAAATTCTCATCCGGCGCCCCTACAAAAGACGTGAATTGCTTGAGAGCCATTTGGAAATAGACGTTTATGGCATTGTTGAAGTTGAGGTAGGAGTTTTTTCGGTTCTTTCCGAAATAATAAAAGAAACCGGGAGCCATCGAGAAATGATCAAGTACCCATGTCTTTGAAGCCATGCGCACATCGTCTATTCACATCCGACACAAAAATTTTCTCTCTGAGGATGTCAGGAGGAAAATTTTATCTCGAAGCGCCGCCAATCAACCTGAACCTAGCAGTTCTCGACAATCTTCACGCTCTTTCCACAGGTTCGTGGAAAAAAGCAGAGCTACTGCCGAACATGCGGGAACAGGTGTTGCAAAAGATAATTAGCCAGTGAGCGCAAGAGCCATGGCTGTTTTGTCTCTTTGTCAAAGTCATATGCTCATCTATAGTGTCAATGAACAACAGTTGCAGGGCGAGCACAGCGGAAACGTCGCAAAATTGATGCCAGTGAGATTTTTTATTAGGAAAAATTATAAAAAAAATTTTAGATTCTCATAATTATGGCGAGTTCAATGGAAAAACGAAGCATTTTTTCAAACTTAAAAAAGTATTAATGGAAGCGCTGATATCGCTAAAGAACGAATTTAGCTTTTTCGTTGAAGTCGTCATGCCATGTTCAAAGTAACTCCGCAAATGCAAAATAACCGCCAGAGAATGAAAAAGCCAACTTAATTTTTAGAAATTCAGAGATAATTTTTGGTTTCCTCTTATTCACTTTGAACACGGCAAAAAAATAAAAATAAAATGTTTTTATATAATTCTTATCATTATAATATCATATAATCATTATAATGATAAGAAATCAAAAAATAAATGAATAAAAATCTCCTTCGGCAATAAGTGCTCTAGCGCACCGAAAACGCTTCAATTGAAGTCTTAAGACTCATTCATTATAACTCCTATTCAAAATAATTTTTTAGCATCAACTTTTTCAATTTTTGAATGTCGCATTTGTTTCTCATTTAGGTTTTTATCATATAAAATAGTTCTTATTAAGAGAAAAGGAGAGCCCATCAGCATTTACAGTTTTTTTTTCATTTTTTTTCTAATACTCTTTAATTTTGTTTCGCCGTTTTCAGCTTTTTTGATTTCATCACATTTTCCAACATTTTCAAAAAGCCTAATTAGTTTCTTTGAACTGACTAGTAAACAAAATACTACGGCGCTTTCAATATTCACTCGCTTATTTGTGTTTCAGCCCACTGCGAGTCTTCATTGTGTCCACTGGGCTCTAAATGCGTTCGTTCCACGTGAGTTTCAAGTAATTTTGTTGAATGAAAGAGTACTGAAGGGGAGAATGCGTTTGCAAGAAAACTTGCCGGACGAAGGGACCGCCGGTCTGTGGCTCCGACGGCGTCTCGTATGCGTCCTTCTGTCACCTAGCTGTCAGATACTGCGCCCTGAGACATTCTGGAGAAGGTCCGAGACTCCGATTCCGTGGACGAGGACTTTGTGGTTAGTTTTTTTTTTTTTTGATTTTTTTAATGAACTGTGACAGACAAGGCGCTTAAAATTTTTTGCCAACTAATGTATTTTTTTTTGCCGTCTCTCAAAACGTTTGATTATTTTACAGCTTCGGCCATGATATTTTTTTTTAAAAGACAAGCCTTTTCTTTAAGAAAAAGTAGTGTTTGAATATTTTGAATAAAATTTCAATTGTAGTTTCTTCTCTTTTTTTGAATCTATTTGTTTAAAAAAAAGCTTTTTTCCTTTGTTCTAGAATATAATATAATATTCAAAGAAAAGTTTTTTTGCAAGATTTTCTGTTTTGAACAGCAGATCTCTATATATTTTAATTACTTCCTCATATGAAAAGATCAAAGACGTTCATTTCTTTATTGTTCGATTAATTGCGAAGATAACCCAGCAGCTAGAAAAAACAGCCATAAAAGGTACACGGCGTACGAGGCGGATATATAAACAGAGAAGATTTGCCGTTGGGCTCTCACGTTGTCAGTGACCGTGTTGCCGGCACCTGCGTCTCCAAACAACTTTCCGTTTGGGAACTTCTTCGAGATGCATGCAAATGGAGATTGTTGGGCGAAGCTTGTGTTTTGAGAACAACTTTTTCTGAACAATTTTTTTGGGGCAAAGATCCCAATTTTTTTAGTCCAGAAGCAATGAACTCAACTTCGTTCGACTTGCTAGAATTTCATAAAACAGAACTGATTTTATTGTGCTGCTCATAGAAAATCTCCACAGTTGAGCAGCAAATTCTGAAGGATTTAGTTTAAGATGAGGGGAAATCGGGCAGAAATCTTGAGAGGGTAGAGAGAAGCCGTTTGGAAATTCAATTGACGCTCTATGGGCTGAATTTGCGGCTCTCTCACACGTTCAATGAACGAAATCTGAGAATTTTGGAACTCTCGATTATTTTAGATGCTCCTTGTGACCATCTTATTCTGTTTACTCAATCTTTTCACCGAAGGCTGTTACCGATTTCCCAAAAGTCTTCGTGAGTGTGTCCGTTTCATTGCAAAAAAGTTTCAATGACTTTTGTCCTTTATTTCCTCTGAAAAGTGTGCAGCAAATATCATTTCTGTGACCATTCAGCTTGTGAAATTAATAGAATAAGGGATGCTTGTTTTTTTTTTTTCAATTCCGTGTATTTTCTTCACTCGAACTGGTAGCTCTCTCAATCGGCCGAGGCTACCCTAGAGTGTACACGGCGTCCGTGCCCGAGCCCCACCATCACCGCCGTGCCCGTACCCGCGAAACTGAGGAATCTACTTGTGGAAGAACGAGGCCGTAAGACCATGCTTTCAATTCAATCGACTACAAGTTTTGACTTCTTTTCCGCCAAAGGCGGTGTTAGTGCCGCTCAAAAGAGCAATTTTTTCACCGCCTAGTCGATTCCATCGGACTAAAACAACCAATAAATATTGATGATTGATGATGATGAATTATTTAGTTACCGATTTTGTCTTCCAGGAGGGGTAAAAAAAAGCTTTCAAATTGCGTTAGCAACAACAGTTGAAGTCCAAGATGTGTTATAAAAATTTGAAGCATGATTATTGATCTAGTTTTCTTTATACAAGTGATCCAGAAGCGCCTGGACGGGCTGACTAGGGAATCGTCTCAGTTCACAATGAGACTTCTGAATGAGTCTAGAACACTGATTTAGTTTTTTACACGGGTTACGAATTTCTCGTCAAGTTGCCATCTAAGTCTGCGAAAAAAAAAACGGGCTCTCAAAAGTCAAAAACTACAATAACTACTTCCAGTTTTCTCATTCAAAAGTCCTACTGTGAGCTAAGTTCATTCCTTGGTCACTGTTAGAGATGCTGGAGTAAGACATAGTTGAAACCTCGGAACTCATATCGCAGAGTTCCAAGAGCTCTAGATTCTTAAAAATAAATGAATTTCTTCAGAGAAACGTAATCCATGTGATGACGTGCACTGCGCGCCTGGCGAACAATGCGTCGTCACTCAGAGTTCTTCTGTGCTCACCGCCAAATGCATATGTCCGGAAGAGTGTCCCAACTACGGGGATTCTGGTTTGCGATTCAGTTGTGTTTCATTCAAAGTGTAAGCCCTTAAGTGGAGTCTTCGGCTGTCTGCTCGACCCATGGCGTCGACTATCCCTCTTTGTGTCATCTCCGACATCACGCCTGCGAATCCAAGTCCAACATCACCTTGAAGTTTCATGGGAGATGTGGTGGGTTTTGTTAAAAAGCAACCTTTGTTCTTTTTGAACTAAACACCTTACTTTAGTATAGTTATGAAGATGTTTCATCACTTTTTTTATCTATATAAAGTGAAATTTGTTTCCTTCAAAAGAAAAAAAAAACAGAAAATCTCAGTCCCTTTTTTATTTTTTTACAAATTCGTATTGGATTTAACATATTTTTTTTCAACACACCTTCGTAGCACTCATGAAATTTCATAAGATAAACTAATGAAAAATATTTCCAAACAAAAAAACGATAGTTGTTTCTCGATTTTTTTCACGAGTACAGGTTTTTTGGCTAGAGGCTACAAAAATGAAGAAGTAATCTTCTTAATTTTATTCACGAGGGCTACAGATCCTTGCAACGGTCACAAGTGTCCGAGCGGACTGTCGTGTCACGTCGGCGTCGACCGGAGACCGGAGTGTCGATGCAACGAACAGTGTCCCCTCGACCTGAAGCCTGTCTGCGCCACCGACGGCCACACGTCCGTTTTTCTCGCCTTTTCAACGTTCACACCTGATTTCAGTTACACGAACGAGTGTGTGATGCGCACGGCCGCCTGCAAAGAAGAACGAGGTATTGACGTCTGGAAGGAAGGCAAATGCGAAGGTAGGGCGATGAGCATCCCCATAAATATTCCGTCTTGCGAAAGTAGCCCCTTCCGAAATTTCTAATCCAAAGATTTTCGGCTTGCTTGAAATTTGCAGGCTTTCAATCGCAAACACTTTTCAGAGCAGAAAAGCCCTTGCCAGAACATTTCGTGTTCGATCTGGGCAAACTGCAGAATTCGGAATGCTACCCACGCAGAGTGTGAGTGCAACGAGAAGTGCTCCCAAGTGATGAAGCCAGTTTGTGGAACGGTTCGAGCTTTCCCAATCGAAATGAATTCTCCTATCGTTCAGGATCGAGTGACCTACGACAACGAGTGCGAGCTGAAAAGGACGAGCTGTCGCGAGAAACTGACGGTTCGAGTGAAGCACGCTGGCACTTGTGGTGGGCATCAGACTCAGCAATTTCCTCAAGGATTCTTGAAGGAACTGGAGTCTGTTCGACGTTCAACGGCTGCAAAGCGCCGCGCGTCTGCGTCGTAGTCAACGGAAAGCCGAAGTGCGCTTGTCCGAAATGCTCAGATCAGCTGATGGAGGTGTCCTCGCCTTGACTCTTTGAAAGGAATCTTCTCTGTAGGTGTGCGGCAGCGATGGAAGGACCTACCCCAACGAGTGCAAACTCCGCCGTGCAGCGTGTCTCTCTTCGCGCAAGGTCTTCGTCAAGTACAACCACATTTGTGGCACGTTCAAATCATTTGTCTTGCATAAGTTTTTCCTTTTTATAGAAGGGTGCGCTAACAAAAAATGTGAGTTTTATTCGAGCTGTGTGGCGAATGGAGAAGGTCCACCCGAATGCAAATGTCCGGAGCATTGCCCGAAGATCTCGGAAGTGGCACAATTAGATGGACCTCACGTGAGTATTGGCCAATAAAAAGAGCTCAAAATAAAGTTGGCTTGAAAGGGCCAAAGGCGTTTCAAAGAAAATCTGGAAGTCGCATTTTAAGAATGATCAAATTCTCAAAAGTTTTCGATCATATTTTACTTCCGATCATCTAGGGTCGTTTAAAAGGAAGCAGGGAATTCTTTCTTGTCCTGATTTTCGTTTTTGTAGTGTTTTTGGTGACCGAAAATCAAAGAAAAAAAAAAAAAAAGTGAAAATGAATATATTTTTTATTCCAACAATGAGATTATTGAAAAGCAAAGACCGTTTTTTTAGAGAGGAAAAACATCTGATAGATCATTTTCAGAAACACTTCTTGTGTTTGAAATTAAATTTTGAAAAATTAATTTCAAAGAGTGATTTTTTTTTTTCAAAGTATGAAGCCAGTTATACGTTAATTTTTGAGTTTCATATAAGTTTCTGTGCTGCTTTTGGTAAAACCATGAACATCTCTGTAAATGCAGAAGGGGGAGGTATGCGGCACCGACGGGGTGACTTATTCCTCTGAGTGTCACCTTCGCCGTAGCTCGTGCCAACAGAAGAAGTTCATTGTCGTCGCTTTCGAAGGCAAATGCGGTAAGGTGGAAGGAAGATCTTGCGCAAAGTTTGAGGCTCAGACGCGTGTCTTCACGTTCAGTGTCGGTACGGCGAGGAGTGCCGCGGAGGCGTCTGCGCCTGTACCTACAGTTGTCCCCGAGACCCGCATCCTTCTGCGCAGATCTGCGGCGAAAACGGGGTTTAGAATCCAGAAAAAAAACAAGAAGTTTCGAGTGGTTTCAGGTGATGTACCCATCGGAATGTCACATGCAGTTGGCTGCCTGCAAAAAAGGGACTCTCATCGCCGAAATGCCATTGGCCCATTGCCATGCTTCTACTGCCACTTTTCCAGGTTTCAGTTCTTTTTTCTCTTATTTCTTTTATGCTGTTGACTTTTCTCTTTAATTTTCTTCTTACTTCTTCTTGTAGTTTCATAACATCTTTTCCTGTCCTACTTTTTTTTTCTACTGTGGATCGCACGCACCAATCCTCACTATGTAGCGATTAACTGAGAAATCAAGAAACCCTAGAATCAACAGCTAGGAGACATTGTGTGATCGGAGCTTGCAACTCTTACGGCTCCACTTGCAACGTCGACGATTGCCGTTGTGCCGTTTGCAATCTCTCTTTACCGTACCCGATTTGCGGAAACGACGGCGTCATATACCGTAACCAATGTCATCTGAATACGATAGCTTGTCGTGATCAACGAGAAATACTCGTGCTGCCTTTGCTCGCCGACTGTCGAAAAAATGAGGGTCAGCTCTAGATCGATCTTAAAGAAGATTCTAGAAATATTGAGAATAAAACGTATGGTGTAGAACTGCGCTTAGTTTACTTATATATGTGATAGTCGTGGTCTTGGAGTGCAACAAGGAGAGATTTGAGAGTGATTCGAAGACATTTCAACGGACATCAGTCTACTCCGATGAGTTGATAAGCAAACTGTGATTGAACTCTTTAAAGAACTGAATGCTCTGTAATTTTTGAATTTTGACGGAAAAAAAGCTTCAAACGTTTTGGCAGTTTTGATTTTGAAGTTTTCTCTTCGAAAAATAGAATCTTTCGGTAGTTTTTTATCAACAAATCTTTGAAAATAAGTTTTAGCCTATTTTCAGATAAATAGTGAACTAAATGAAGAAATTCCAAAGAGATTGCAATTCGCTCGATCATCAATTTTTCTTAGTTTCTAATTTTACCTCCTCCAAGTCTTCTTGAATTAAAGTCACTACTAACTCCCAGATGTTCAAATAAGTTTTGATTTTATCAACACCCTGAGGTCAGAGGTTGATTATTTCTCTTATTTCTCTGAAATCAAATCCTCGTACACTTGTTGAGCTCTTACTTGCCCAGGTATGTCTGCGCGCCGGCCAGTTCCTTTTTTGGAGTCTCATTTCAAACGGCAATGACTTCTATGACTGAAATTTTCCCACTAATCGTTTTTCAATTAAAGAATTTTACATTGAACTGATGCTTTTTTCCAACAATTATGTTTTTTTTCTAAAAATAACTATTTCAACACATACTCTCAACTAGACTATCTAACATACTTTAGTTCAACAAAAACACGCTAAAAGTCTTAAAGTCAAGGTTTTTTTTTCAGATGAATGTCAGTGCAACAAGATCGGCTCCTACGGCAATTCCTGCGACGACTCTGGACAGTGCAAGTGTCGGCCAGGTGTCGGCGGCGTCAAGTGTGACCACTGCCTTCCGGGCTTCTGGGGCATCCACCTCATCGCCCAAGGCGCCATGTCCTGTCGACGTCAGTCTTCGGCTCTTTTCCGATCTCACTTCAATGTGTTCTAGCTTGTGGATGCTCGGCGTTCGGATCGGCCAGATCCGACTGCGAACAGACGACTGGCAAGTGTGAATGTCAAAACGGCGCTCTCGGTGATAAGTGCAACTTGTAAGTCGCAAATCTAACTGTTCCAGACTGTTCAAATTATTTCTAGATGTCCACAAGATACGATTTTGACTGCGAACGGCTGTGTCCGCTCTTCTGAATACAAGATGCCAAGGTTTTTACGCGGACACTAAAGTAAAGAAAAAATTAATCTGTAGAGACTGTTCTTCCCAAAAATGTCACCACGCGGCCAAATGCGTCCCGTCGCCGGGCGGCCTTCCTGACTGCATTTGCCCCAACTTCTGCAGTCTTCCTCATCTGGGCATTGGTAAGCCAGTATTCGACAGTCCAGCCAAATCGTTTAAGCTGGAAACATGTCGGTTTGTGGCTCCGACGGAAATACCTACGAGTCGTCCTGTCAGTTACGAGACTTCGCCTGCAAGCATCAGATCGACCTCGTTCCAGTTGCTTTGGGCATTTGTGAAGACGGTGATTGAATAAAAACCTTTTCAATAAGATACTTTTTCATTTAATGAGGTACTAGTGCTCTGACAATGTTTATTTTTTATTTTTCAATCAAAAAAGCTAGTAAGTCAGACTTTTAAGTTAGACAAATAGTTTGAGAGAAGAACTTTGTAAGGACGATGGTTATAGCAAATCTCCGTAATAAAAATGATGAATATCTGAAATTAGAATATTCTGTTGATATTTTCTATAAGCTATCTTCTCTTAAAAACGTTTCAAAGAGCTTTTCACTTCTGTCTGAACGGTTTGGACTTATTTTCAACCAATGTGGATAAATATTTTTGATGAAACCATGAGTTTTCATTTCATTCAGACACATTCGAAGTGCTGGACCGTCTGCAGCGAGAGAAAACTGGGGACGCCGGAGAAAAGAAGCTCGGCTCGTCGTGTTCGACCCACGAAGACTGTGCTCACATCAACGCCGTCTGCGTGACGAGGCCGGGCCGCAGAAGCAGATGCGAATGCGGCGACGGCAGCAGAAGCCAAGGCGGCGTTTGTTTCGTCTCTAATTCTGGTAGCTCGCACAAGAATCTCAGATTTCCCACTTCTACTTTCCAGGAAACGGATCTCTGAATCTTCAAATCGGAGACACTTGCTTCTTTTTATTGAACCCGGAAGTCACCACTAAGTCCAGTTTTTCAGTATCGGTGAGTTAAAATGTAGATGAAAGGATTCTTAATTTTTTTAAATATTTTTTATACTCAACTCTTTCTCCTGAAAAAAAATTCAAAGACAGTTTATCTTTTTTTCTGATGATGTTCAGGTGCGTTCGAAAGAATACAAAAAAACCTTCTTGATCCCATATTTCTTGTATGGAGCACAATGTTATCCTAAAAGATAAATTTTATTCATAAAATTTCGAAAAATAAGTTCCTATCTCCTTTGTGTAAATGTTACTGTGTGAAATCTTGGAGGTCGAAAATAGTTCCGAAATCAATTTATGAACTGGAAAGGAAACGAAGTAGATCTATAGACACGCAAAATTTGAGAGGATATCCTAAATTGAAGCAAAACAAACGAAACGACCTTTTTTTTTCCAACCCAGCCTAAACCCAAATGGCGCAGAACAAGTCTGCGCCTAATTACGATTTATCGATTTTTACAAGCTTTTTAGATTCACAATATACCTGCTAATAGAGTTATTCGGTACAGATTGAGCAACTGGAGCCTGGAACGATTATGCAAATGGAGACTGCGAAAATGGCCGACAGCATTGTGCTCGAAGCGACGCCGAAGAAGACGCTGCTCCTACGGTGAGTCAGCCGAGAAGGAAGACGAGGATGAGGATGAGTGTGACGCAAAAGAAGGTGGCGAAGGCCACGAGGGCCACCATGAAGATGGAGACGTGGTGGCCGAAGGACTCGGCGTCTTCTTCGGACATGCAGCACGGCAGCCAGCTGCACTTGAGGTGTCGGCCTTGTCGAGGCTGTGGCCGGCGTCGTTTTGACTCCTCAATCTCCATTTGTGAACAAAACTATGCCAATGTCGTGAAATATCGAAATGATTCAAAACAACAAAAAAGTGTAGCATTGTACGAATTTTTCTTCAAAATATTTTCAGCAGCTCATAATGAATGTTTTTCTTGCAGTTTTTTCCCAATTTGTAGCTTAACTAGCCTTAAAAAGACAAAAGTTACCTCATCGCTACTGAGTATGTCGTAGGCGGCGGTTTTGGGCTTTGAGCTCAAGTCGATAACTATCGAGTTCCTCGGAGCCGTCATCGTTTCCTTTGCGCTTTATCGATTTCGTTCCTTATCGCGACTCTCTTATCAGTCCGTTTGCAGGCTCGGATCAGCTGCAGCTCTCGAATCGAGATCTGTGTTCAAAGATTCAGCCGTTGTTGAGGTTGAAGACAGGCTGAACACTTTCTGAAATGGACTTTGAAGGTCCAATGGGAGAAAGATGACGTCGTCGTTCGATTTGGAGATGAATCGAAGAGAAAGCACATGAGGAAGTTCGAAGCAACTGATGTTCAAAAGATTTATCTTGGCAGCGACGCGTATGAATATCTGTACCAGCTTAATAAAACTCTGAAAGTCTAGGAGTTGCTCCAAGTCTCTCAGTGGAATCATATCCACACTTCGATTGAATGAGGACGAAGTTCATCGCAATGAAGTGCGATCCAAAAGTTTGTAATTCCAAATTACTCGGAAACCCGGATGTTCAGAAAAAGTTCCGTTGTTTCTGCGGGCGGTTGAGTTTCGCGGAGAGGCCAGTTTGCAGTTCGAGAAGCTCGGTTTCGACCTTCGCGATCAGTTCCAACTGGAGATCCGTCTCAAAACAAATGCGACCTGCGGTCAGCTCGGCGTCTTTTTTTCCAAAGGGATTCTTCACTTTCAGGACTTTTATTCTTCCTAACATCAACAACAGCAGGCAGCGACTATGCGATGTTGTCCTTGGTCGATTCTCATCCCGTCTTCACGTTTGACCTTGGTTCCGGACCGGCTTCTCTCAAGTATGTTAGATTTATCATAGTTTGAAAGAATTGATGTAGGGAATGAATTACCCATTTTTAGAGCTTCTTAGAGGTTCAAATTGTTGTCAGTTTTCCAGCATATCGTAGGAACCGAATTCTGAAGTTTTTCACGATATCCTTTTCCGCAAACTTCTTCTAATCTCGATTATTGATTGGTCCATTGTAAGCTGCTTCAAATTTAAACCATTTCAGAGTCCCAAAAATAACGGAGGATGAATGGACTTATATAAAAATTGAGCGTCAACAGAGAAACACGAGTGTTTCCATTGACGGACGTCCGGTCGGAGCCCAAATCTCTTCGGTAATGATAAAATCCATTGTAACCGATTTGGAATGTCTTGGTCATATGTGTGGAGGTCCAAAGCATTCCGGTTAGAATAGCTTTTACAAAAAACCTGGGTACTTAGAAGTTTACCTCAGTAATTTAAGAAAAAAGAAAGTTTAGAACCATTCCACGTGCGACCAACCGTTTTCCTCAAAATAAAGCGGCATAATTGATCTATTTTTAGTTTTCATGATTTTCCAGGCTTCTAACGTCCATTTCGATGTGGCTGATCCGATTTTATACCTTGGTCATGTTCCAGACGAAACGGTAGTGTTTTTCTATTGTTTTTCTGAAAACTCACATCCGTTTTCCCAGGTATTACCTGAGGAACAACGTCTGAATAACAAGCCGTTCACCGGCTTTTTGCGATACTTTTCTGTCAACGAATTCCCTCTAGACATGCACCACGTGAGTTTTGAACAACTTTTCGGGAAACTTCATTCAACACGCCGCAGCTGATTAATGTGTGAAAACAAGGAAGAAAGATAAATGAGGAGGGAAGACGTCAGCCGAGGCGGTAGTAGGCGTTGGCGCGGGCGCGCGAAAACTCGCTGCGTTTGACGCCGTCGGAGCTCACCGGCAGCTGCATGTGGATGCTCCGCCAGAAGTTGTCCAGACTCCGTTTCATCGCCGTCTGCGTCTCCTCTGAAAACACTCTTCAGTCTTTCACAAGCTCAGGAACCTTGAAAACGTTCTGTACCGAAGTGGTTTCGTCTGTAAAATGACGCACGGAGAAATAATTATGTTGCCACTCTATTTTTCGGTCTACTATTCATTAAGAGTATCCAAATATCGACTTCAAAACTCAGTAAAAGCGGAATAAATATGAACATTTGAATTTTTTCAAGACTAGCTAGTTTCTATTTAAATTGTCAATTTCTGAAAATTTTGAAAAATACAATATTGTGTGATTTTTTTTCAAATTTTGTTCTAGCACGTTTCAACTTAAAATTTATACGCATAGATAGATATATGTTGTGCGAGGTATTCAAAAATTAATGAAAAGTGCGGCTCAAACAGACTGCGAAGTCACGCATTATGACACCAAACAGGAAGCTTTCCAAATTAGAATTTCCTTGCTGTCAGCTTATTTTCTTTCTTAATTTTTTTTTTAAAGTTAGAGCCTGAAGAAGACTGAAGGCAAATGCCACGAAAAGGCGCTTAATTGGCGGCGTGCCCAATTTTCGCCCAACTCATCCATCAACTTCCCTTCCATTTTTGTGCCTTTTTCTGTTTTCTTCACTTCAAACTACTTTGTGTTCCCCACAATTATTGAAGCGGTTTTCTCGGAAAACAGGGAACTTCTGAAGAACCTTCCTTATAGAAAGTTCTTTTCTGTTTGTTAATGCTAATAGGCGTCTAGACAAACATGATTATAATCCGAAATTTGGCAGAGTTAGCTTGTTTTTGAAAACAGTCGTTTTTTAAAATAATCCTGATAAGAAAGAAAATCTCAAGACCTGCATTTTGAATAAAAACTACATAGATCAGCAGTTGTGAATGTTGGAACAGTTTTCTTTCATGAAATAGGACGTTCCATTGGAATTTCCATTGTGTCAATATCTAGGTCTTTTTTTTCAGAACAATAGAAATTTTTTTTTTACAGATTTTCATGAATTACGACTCCGCAGTATTTACCTTCAAATGATTACTAGTCATATTCACTGAGCCACTCTTGAAACTTTTCGAAGTTAGATGTTCAAATATTTCATTTATTAACCTGCTCAGTCCAGAGATAACAATTTTTCAATTTTTTTTTGTGCGAAAAGAATTTCTTTAAACTCTAAGACTAAATGAGGATTTTGAGAACGCGATCATGCAGAAGCCATGTGCGATAGAGCGAAAGATGACTCTCACAAGTGGGTTAATTAATTAGTTTCGAAGCTCAATTTCTGGATTTAATGTACTTCGAGAAAAGTCTCTTCAAACGAGTTTTCAATTACGGTACATTTGCCGTTGGCTTCAGACAGTTTTAAATAAATATCTGAAAACGATTAGGGAAACAGTGAGCAAAAACTTTCCATCCGATTCAGCGGTGAATAGAGCATAGTTTTAAGCCATTTCTCAGTTCTTGACCGACTCTGTTTCACTTCATTGCAGCAAGAGTTTGAAAAACTATTGATAAATGAGCTAATCTGCTGTGAAATTGAAACGAACCGTCGTCGTAGCTCTGGGCGACGACCAAACAGACGAGAGCTGCGAGCAGGAAGATGGCGGATCTGACCAACATTCTGAAGCTGCCCTCCGAGCCGACGACCAGCGAGAATGAGTTCCGATGTGGGCGGAGCCTCGCGAGCCCACCTTTTCCTTGCTCTTTCCGCTTCTCGTTAGCGTTTCGCGACAAAATAGATCTTTTCCACCGGAAGAAGTTGTTTTAAAATTCCATCGATATTGTGAAGGAACGGGCAGTTTTTCTTCAAGTACATTAAAGTCTAATGTAACGTCCTTTGGCGAAGTTTTTGAATTTTTTAGCTTCCTCTGAAATCTTCTATGGTTCCATTTCCGTTGTCCCAAAGAAAAGTGCTTTACGCTCTGCGATATCTGTGAATTCAATTCAATGAAGAAATTTATTCTGGGAATCTTTTCGACGGAAAAACTTCCGATCAGTCTTCCACCTGGAAGCAATTATAGTCCTGAAACATACGCGAGATTCTCGGGCTTGAAAGGCTATTTTTCGACTTGTTTTTGAGATCTTTGATGCGTTAAAAGAGAATGAATTACAGTACCGAGAAGTAGAAAATTTAACATTTAATTTTTGAGAAGTTTAGTTATTGGATAAAAATGAGTACCGCAAGCTTAGATAATTTTTTTTTCAAACCTAAAAAATATTTTTCTAGCCTACTCGACGTGAAGGCGATGTCCGTCTGGCAGAAGAGATCAAGTGCGGTGAAGACTGTCAAAGCGGAACTTGCGTCGAAAAAAACCAGCAGAAGCTTTGCCGAGCAGGTAGTTTCATCTATGAAAGCCTTTTTCGGATTATATGCTGTCATTTTCCCTTTTTTGATAGGTTTTTAAAATAGGTAATAAGGGCGAATTTCTTGAGATCAAAATTTCGAGTATACTTAACTTCTCGGGCATGTGAGAGAGTTTTCTTTCTTAAAAAAGAAGAAGCTTTCAACTAGTCTTATACTATTCTCCATTAGAAACTCCCACGGTTCTCAAAACATCAAAGAACTTTCTTCGTTTGTTTTCTTCCCACTCGATAGGAAACGCTACTTTAAAAGATTTTAAACTCTGGTTTTGGTAGGTTCAAAAATTCAAAAGTTTTCAAAAGTTCGTTCTTGTACCTTTGAATGGAAGAACTTCCCTTTGTGCTCAGAAATTCGAAAATGAGAAAAAAAATTTCAATTTCCTTCTTTCTCCTGTCAAGTTCTGACTCCAGACAATTATCTAAAAAGCAGTCTTTTTTGAGCTTGTCTCCTTAACTATTCCAAGTCCGTAAAATAAGTATGAGTCTTCTCCAGACCTCTTAATCAAATGAAAGTTTTTCTTCTTTTTATTTTGATTTCATTTCGGGATGACCGCTGAGAAAATTTTCATGTGTCAAACATCATTTGATCTCTTGGCGCTCGTGATTAATGCAAAGCGTGCGAATTTCCGCATTTACGGTGAAGGAAAATAGGCGAGTCTCTGATGAAATATTCAGGCTTGCTTTTGGAGAAATCACATTGGAATTGGTTGGGTCACGAACAGTCATTCTTTATTTTGTTTTTATTCCAACGAATTCCTTAATAAAGCAAAAAGACTTCGATACAGATCGCACCTACAAATCGATGCACGTCGACGAGGATTCCGATTTCGGATATCTCAATCGCGGTTTCAGCTCGTTAGTTTCTGTTTTTTTTTTCTGATTTTTCAAAATAATGCTAAGTGAAAGGAAGTCGAATTCAGGGGACAACAGTCGAATAAGTCTGACTTTTCGTTCGAAGTTCGAACGTTGAGTAGAGCAGGTGCTTACGATTTCCTTGTTTTGATAACTATATAAAGAATTGATCAGGTATAATCTGGTACGAAGGAAGCTGGAAAGAGAAACGAGATGGGGATTTCCTGGCGGTTTTCCTGGTGGAAGGCGTCCTGCATCTGGCCATCAACCTCGGCAACGACGGACAGCTCAAAGCCGTCTCCACCAACAGGACGATCAGCGACGACCGATGGCATTCTGTTCAGTTGACAAGGTACCTTCTCACGAAAAATTAACTTGAAAGGAAAATTATTCAATTCATTGCGACTGAGGTATCGATCGCTATTGAAGGTTTGGCTGTTGTTTTTTCACGAAGAATGTTGCAGAAAAGAGAGGAGAGTGGAGGTTACAGTGGACGGGAAACGCGTCATCACTGTCGTCACGTCTCCAGGCTCAACTTTCCTTGACACGAATGGACTCGTGTACTTGGGTTGGTTTTTCCTTCCTATCTCGCCCCAGGATGGGATATAAAATATCTAGAGGTCCTGCCCTCTCAAATGTCTTGAAGAGCTATTCAAGCACGTTTGGAGTGAAGAGCTCTCGTTGCAGGAGGTCGGAATGCAGCGAAAGTCCGGCAACTGGCGAGACTTGGTCTCACACAGAAGTTCGTCGGCTGCATTCGCAACATCGAAATCCACTCGAAAAGAATCAATCCCTTCACAGACACGATCTCCGATAAGACCCCTCAAAACTGTATACACTAATGTCTTTCTTACATCAATATTGGTACTCCAATGAAACTTTAAAAGTTATTAAACGCAGATTTATTGAATCATTCAGATATATAGGCTCCTGGACCAGAAAAAGTCACAAATATCACATTGGGTAATCAGAAAATGCTGGTAACCAAGTCGGAGAACCGAACGACGCTACTACCTCGGTACAAGCGGGTCGACTTCTGGCGAGTGAGCCGACTCGTCGATCTTCTATAGGCCAATCTTGAACTGACTGCCGGAGGCCGTCTTGCGGGCGCCGCTGTGGGGTCCTGCTTCATTCGGCCTGAAATGCCGATTTTCTCGCTGTCCCAGTGAAGAAAGACTCTTGCCTGGGCGAAGGAACGACCGAGAGGATGCCCACACGCGCACCGCCGTTGACCGCTTGACGGGGACTCGGATCGAACGAAGTATTGCTTAATTTGACTCAGAATAGCAACTTTAGAAAAGGTTTTTCTTCAAACTTATTGCATAAAACATATGTACAATTTGAAACTTTTCTATATTCCCCCACACTCTTTGAGGTCGACACGAATAAACTTTAAAACTCACTTGGATTTCGGAATATAGGAGCGTGGCGTCTCAGCGTCGGACGATTCACGAAAAAATTCTCTATCTCTGAAATAAGTGATTCAAAAACAGTAAAGTAAAGCTTGCCGTGTGTTGCTGCTCATCTGGTAAGTCCTTCTCTGGTCATTGGGACGAACTGCAAAACAGTTTCTGTGGGGAATTTCCGCATAAAGAGACCTTCTTGGGGACGGCGATTATGTGGAGTTTCATTCCGCGGATTCGGTCGAGAGCTTCTTGGCTCGGATCCATAATTGGTGGGTGGCGCAACGTTCCGATGAGCATAACTGTAGTAGCCGTCGTCAGGTCGTTGTTCCACATCTTTGGCCGCTGCATTCTAAACAAACTGTACGTTCCACATTTTCGAAATGGAAATCACTTCGACGTAGACGTTGTAGGAAGAGTGGCTCCTCTCCAACGGCGAACTCTGTCCTCCGAGCCGATTCAGATGATCCAACGACTGAGCGCTCCGGATGCCGGTAGGTCTTCTACAGACAACTTCATCTTCTTACAGAGTATTATTCTAGGTCACCTTCCCTTCCACGTGTCGATGACGTCATCTATCGTGGGCAGTCCAAGTTCTGTACGGCTTTTCTTCAATTCTTCCTCGCGCTCTTTCAAAGAACGGATCTCGGCAGCGATCCTGGGGTCAATGAAATCCGCTGAGTTCTGAAACCCTTTCAGATCCGCTATTTTTTCTGACTATTATTAGTCGTTAATAATAAAATATATCAATTTTTAAAAAAATTCTCAGAAGCATTAAATCAAATTATAAGCGGAAAGTGTCAATCATAAATTCAGATTTTTTTCTGGTTCATAAAGTGTGTTTTAAATAATTTTTTAACTGTCCTAATCAATTTTTTTTTTCTGATTTTTTTAAAACTTTCAACACCGATCAACCCACCGGAGACTCGTCATTAGACGCGGAAATTCCTTGTTTTTTGGCGATTAGGGCTGCCGCTGACTTCTTGACGAACCGGCCGCCTCTATATCGTATTTTCTTTCATTTTATTTTCCATTTTTTTTTGCACTTTTCTTTGGAGGCGTTCCGTGGGCTCGCTTTATTTTCCACCTCTATTTTCGTCACTTCATAACCTTGTATATCGTCAGTTTTGAGTTCTTCTTTCAGCACAGCGCTCTGAAAGTTTCGGTTTGAATAGAATAGAGCGTTCATTCAGATCATTTCAAAATTTTGTAGTTTGTAGTTTGTTCCAATCTGTTCAAATTTCAAAAATTTGAAGATTTTGAAGCCCCTTTTCTACAGGTTTTCACACGAAAAAAAAAAACAGTACTTTCAGAAGTTAGAGTTCTTGGAAAAACCGACGGCGGTTGAATAGAAAAAATTCGAAAGCTTCCGCCCGCTCTTCGAATCGAAAATTGCATAACAAATTTGAAAGTTCATTCATCTTTTTTTCACTAATATCTTTGTGCCTTGCTTCATGTGTTTGCATTCGATAGAACTCCATTGCTCGATCCGACATAAAATTTTATTAACACTGATCATTCAATAGAATTTACTTTTTTTTTCCGAAAGGACAGACGAAAGGAGCAATGGAGCCATACCAACACCCTTCACCAATTTTCCTTTTGTTTTTATCCGAAAATTCGGGCTGGAGAATGGATAACCTGAGCAGAGCGGTGCGGAGAGCGCACTTCTTCTCGGCTTAGCGGCGACTGAAATTGAGAAAAAATCAATTCAATTTCTTCGGTTTTGATCGAATTTATTACTTTGAGGTTATTGTGAGAGACAGGTCCGCCATTGACAGTTATTTTCGGGCCGATTTGTTCGTGCTGCTTGTGAGGACGGGAGCCGGGAAGGTCCTGGAACAAGATCACCCTTTTAGAATCATCTGGATGGTTGCGAGAAAGGAGGTCTAGCTCACGGGAACGACGACGTTGATGGAAGTGTGATAGGTGGGAAGCGACTGGATGTGTTTCCAGAGGGATTCGCAAAGTCCGATTCATGAAACAAGGAAACATTTAATAATGAAGTTGATTGAAAGAAATATATTCTGTCTTCTATATTATCTTGTAATTTAAAGCCACAGTACACTCTAACGGCTCTTCGATTCTTTATCTGTGCTCCTCTGAACAGCTTTCCAAGGACCTTCGAGCAGACTATAAACGAACCAAGATAATTGAGAATTGCGCGATGAGACTTGAAGTAAAGTAGAAGCTTATCGGCCTCCATCTTCACTTCTTTCGATTCGGAAGGCTTCATGAAGTCGCTCGGACACTATGAAAATTTGAAATTGGTTAACTCAGAAAAGAAAAAAAAACCTTTTCTATTCAAGAATTTTTTTTTAGCAAAAATGGCAGTTTTTCAATTTTTCAAAAGAATACTTCAAAAAAATAACCTTGTAAACAGGCAACGGACAAACGGCGGATTCAGTGTAGAGAGCCGAATCAGTGGAGACGCTGGTGTGCTCCTCGCTCTTCTCGGAGAGCTTGTCGATGTCCGGCGGCTCTCCGCAGTGGACCACCTCGACCTGAGAGCGACGGCCGTCTTTCCCCTTGCCTTCGATGCTCTCGCGACGGGAGCCTGAACGAGACTCGTTGCGCTTCTCCAGCTCCGTCGGCGGCAGGATCCGCTCGCGTCGTTCTTCCTTCTTCCGGTGCAACGTCTCCCACTGGCGCGCTTTGTCCATCTTTGGCATTCTGAAGGCTTCAACTTGTATGAACTGAACCAGATGATCAATGATCTATTTTTCATTTCGTACAAATTTCTATTTTTACATCTGCTAAAAGTCAAATTGAATGAAGATATTCTATGACTACTTTTTTTTATTTTCTAAAAGATTTTCGAGAAACTTTTCTAGAAAATGAAGGTGGAGCTACAGTTTTCGGACCCACCTGCGGATCTCCCGGTCGCGGTCTCTCGCCAGATCGGCAGAGACACGGTCGTCCTCGTCCTCGATGTTGATCGGCCAGTCTCCGTTGTTCATCTTCTGCACGACTTCCTGGACGTTCTTCAGACCGTTATCAGGAGTTTTCCGGGATGGCGTCATCCGGTCAAGATGGCCGTCACCTCGTAAGAAAGGATTCGTCGACACCTTCACCCGTGGCACGTCATCATCTGAAGCAAGCGTTTCCAGACCCCCAATTTATCCAGACACTTACGCTTCTCACTGTTGCCTTTCAGATTGTTGATGATAGCCCGAATGGCGCCCGCAGTTTGGGAAGGTTCCTGCGAACAGAAAATGTCTTTTTTAATCCGGAAACTTTGACGGAACCTTTTTCTTGGGCGGTTTTTCATCCTGAGGCGAGGAGTTGAAACCGTCGATGAAGGAATGTTTGTGGCTGTGCATGGCGCTCGCATGAGGATCGTATCGAATGTGAACTTCGTTGTGCCTGTAAAAGTATGCAAGGTTAAGTGATTTTCGTGATAAGACAGCCGAGAATAAAAGTTGGAATTTACCAAATCGAAGGGCTTTAAAAAGAATTTTCCTCGACGTTCAAATCTGCAAAAAATCAACCCTATTTGTAAGAATCACCTATCGATTTTCTCGTTGACCTTGTGCTCTCTCTTCGGCTCATGCTTAAGTTCGACGCTTTCGCGTCTTTCTTCTTTTCTTGCGCTCGAATATTTGAGCTGGCGATCTTAAACATCCCATTTTATTTGAAAAATGGAGAGTTCAGCTAACCGATGGTTCCTTGGTTATAGCTGCTGTCGGAGCGAGGAAGAGGCGGCGCCTGGGGTATGTTCTGCGGAGGCGACTGCACCATCGGCTCGACGGCAGACACCTGGACCCTGGCGACGCCTCTGACGTTAGACAGGGGAACCGAATCGTAGACATCGTTTTGTTGTTGCCGACGCCAGTGCTCCTCTTCGTCGAAATCGTCGCTGTAGCCTGAAACTCTTCGCGGATGCTTCTGGAATCCAGCTTTTCACGGACCACCGTTTGCATATTCATTAGTGTAGTCGTCATGACCGTAGCTCTCGTAGGCGTCGTAGTCGTTGAAGTTTTGTTTCTTATGCACTTCGACGACTCGTTTGTGTGGCGGCGGAGGCAGATGCTGAACCGGAGGAGTCTTTCAGAATAAAAAGACACCAACCTCTTCGCGCCGGTCGTACCTTTGGACTTCCTGGCGAGGGGCCCATCTAAATTAATTGATGTGAAAGAAACATTTGAAATCATCAACTGTGGAATAAAATACCGATACTTTAATAAGCAACATCCATTTGTAACCAGAACATGAGAAAAATAAATAAATAGAAAACCTCCTATCACATTTAGCTTTTGACAAGAAATTATCAAGTCATCGTAAAAAAAAATTTTAATAAAAAAAATATATTCAGAACTTCTATCGTTGTGACCTAGCCGAAATCTTCCCGACTTTTTTTTAATCATTTGTGATGTATATCCTACATGCTTCAAAATCGTAAAAGTTGCGAGCAATATAAAATAAAAGATCAAAATAAGAAAAGAAGGAAAAAATGACGAAACGGTGTTCTTTTTCCATATATCAACTTCAAAGCAACATTTATTATTCCCTTTCAATACTCGGACTCGAGCTCGGGCGCTCAAAGGCCGTCACTTCCGTTTAGTCTAAAGGCCGCCCCAGAACTTTCTTCAATCTCTAAGGAAGTAATAGCATAGAAAAACTTAGCCAGTTCTAGTTTCAAATTTTTAGGCGAAACAAGTTGCCTTTGGGCGTCCGAGCTTAGAGAATTTTTTTTTTGTGCGGCCAATTGAGCTCAAGGGTCTTCTGTACTAGAGACTGTGAGACATCCTTTTGTTCTCAAGGAACTTTTTCAGGCGCTTATTTGCCGCGTTTCCACAATTTGGCTCGATTTTCTTTTACAGTGATACGGCTTAATTTTCGCACCCTTTTTTTCAGATAATCCTTCTTTAATATCAAGTTTTAAGAGGATTTCAAAGAGAGAACTTTTTTCAATACTGTTCGTTTTTGGAAGACGCTTTCGAAATATCTAAAAATTTGGTTCAGCACCTATGATAATTCCATTTTTCAAAGCAATGGGATAAGAATTATAGATAAAAGGTTTCTAAGAAGTTTGAGATTCAAAATTCGAAAAGCCTTTGAAAATCACTTTCAGAATACTCAATAAGCTCGAAAAGCATACCTGGGATCTCGACGACGGTCCATCTGACTGGGGCTGCAGGCTGACCAGCGGCTATCGCACCGTTTAAGGGATTTCGTATAAACAAAGGACTTTCGCAGGCCTGACAGATTGACAGCTTCGGCGCTGTTTGTTGTGTGGTCAACTTTTATTCTACCGTATGTTCGCCGGAATTTTTCTTGTTTTGTTTGGGCTCCTGATGTGTCTCCGGAATTTTTAGAGAGAATATTTTGAAGTTGCTTTTCTAATTCAAGCATGATTGGAAAGAAGACCAGCTTGGAAAGTCCTTTGAGTAAAGATTAATATTTTCACAAAATTCTGAATTAAAAATGAGACTTTAACTTTCGTTGCCAGAATAAAATATCGAACAATATTATAATTAAAAAGATATTTGAAACGTTTTTTTAAAATTTGTTTTCTTTTGAGCCTGCTTTCTAAAAACCCAACTAGTTGGTTTGAATAATTAATCATAATAGAATTAATTATTTTTCTTTTCACTCTATTTACTTTAAATAAATAGTCTGTTTAGTACCATTGTTTAGTACCGACAGCTCAAATTACTGTACCATTAAAAACATCCATTTTAAGAGGACGCCGCTACAAATGACGCGTGGCGCATATTTTGTGTTGACGCGAAAGCGGGGAAATCTATTTTTATTTTTTTGATATTATGCCGCGTTTAAGGTCGTGTTCACATTAATTTCTGCAAAATTCAATTTCGTCTCTGACTTTCTAAAATTTAATTATCGTTTTTGTTTTGGACGGCTGTTTTGGATTTCCGAAAATCACTTTGAACGTGGTACAAATTAATTTCGCGAAATTCAAAAAGTTTGTTATATTTTTCATTGTTATTTAATAGTGCAAGCTATAAAAGTAGGAGTATTATTTTTTTATACGATTGTATGAAAAAAATAGAACGCTGTCTCAGTCTTTGTGGTTCTATTACGAACTAACGCAGTGAAATCGTAAGAAAAAAAATCTTCCATTCCGAAGTTATTCTTTTCATTTTATCCCTGTTGTCGTTTTCGATGTCTAACCGCTTTCAATTGTATTTAATTGCAGATAATTCCAATCGAGTTTTAATATCGGTGTGTTCGATGCACTCGGAAAGGTTTGTTTTTAACTCTCTCCGGAGAAATTTTTTTCTTTCAGTTTACTTTTTCATATTTTTGCAAATGGATAAATTTAAGAAAGCAATTTTCTTTAAATTTTTTTAAAATTTTCCTCAAAAAAATATTTTTCTCAATAAAAATTCAAATTTTAGATATGATCCACCACTGAAGAGGTATCGACGCGATGAAACTGCTGACCCCACAAATCCCAACCCTTCTATCGTAGTCCATGTTAGAAACCTCACACCGAAGGTATTTTATTTGTTTTAAACTAGTTTTTAGTCTGAAATATTCAATTTGGATAATTCCAATATTTGAAAAAAAAAAATGTAATTCCCTTTTTTCGCTCTTCCAAGTTTGATGTTTTTCAGGCGACTGAAGCTGATCTATTAGAAGCTTTAAGTACTTTTGGTCCTATTGCATACGCCACATGCATCCCTCATTCGAGAATGGCTCTTGTCGAATTTGAAGATTTAGACGGTATTATTTTTTAGATTTTTCTTTCATTACAATTTTTCTAGGTGCCCGAGCCTGCGTTTCCTTTTCTCAAAGTAGCCAGATTTTTCGTAGGCGGACAGGTAGTAAAAAGTTTATTTATTTATTTTTATTAGATTTTTTTCTAGGTTGCATTGTTCAACTATTCCACATCACAGTGCATCGAACGTATGGGTTTCGAGTGCGCAGAACCAAATAAAGTTGGTTTTTGTTCTGGTGCCTTTTCAAGTTTTACTTTTAGGTACTCGTTCTTACTGTCTTGAATGCTCTCTACCCAATCAATGCAGATGTGAGTATCAGGAATGAGATTCGTTTTGTGTTCAATATTCTTGACAATGTTATCCAGTCACATTTTAAGCAGAGCATTTTTCTCAACTGACAAAAGTTTTTTATAACGAAAGAGTTAGCAAAAAAAATTGAGTTGATATAATTATTTTGAAATGTTTTCAAACCATTTTCAGGTGATTTATGAGATTTGCAATCCTCATGGAACAGTTCTTCGTATAGCAGTTATGCATAAGCCGACAGTAATTCAAGTAAGTACATTTTCTACATTGTCTCGATATCATCGACATTTAAATTTTCATTTACTTGCCGTTCAGGCCCTCGTCGAGTTTGAAGACGCTGAAACAGCCAAAGTTGCAAAACACGCGATGAACGGGGCTGACATCTACTCTGGATGCTGTACATTGAAAGTCGAATTCGCCAAGGTGAAGTTTTTAAAAATCATCTTTATTTCTAATTTAATGTGAAAGCGAAAATAATAGCAAAAAGTCAAGGATGTGGAAAACTAAAATTAATTTTTTTCTCTTCATTCAAATGTTTCCGAGCTCATTATTTTTTAAGGCTAACTGTCATTCGAATAAGTTTAAATTCGTGGCATTTGCTTATATTTTCAACAATATTGTTGTTTTCAGCCGGATTACGTCAAAGTTACCCGCCAAGACCAGGACCAGCGTGATTATACTTTGCCTCACAGTTTGTTTTTTCAATTAAATCTATCATTAGACAGAATGAAATTATTTTTTGTGCATTGTGAAACGCTGCATCTAAAAAGAAGCAAGCAAAAGCCCGCAAAGCAACAAGATGCATACAAAATAATCCGTCGGACATTCAACGAAGAGCACCAAAGCCACAACGAAGAAAGACAACTACAAACACCAAAAATGCACACAAAACGGCAAAAAATTGTGCAGAATCTGCCTAATCATGGCATTTTGAAGGAGTCGGGACCTTGTCTCCAACCGAAAACTTCCTCCCGCCGAACTTCTCGGCCCACGTTCCACTCTTGCTTGTCCATTTCATGTTGTTGCGTTCTGAATCGGTACGGTAAGGTGAAAACTTCGGGCTGAGAGGTATTTCGTGTCCGAAGAGTTTCGACGGGCTATTTCGTCGTCTTGTTCGCTAAAAAATGACCTGGTAGCCCCTTTCAGGAAATTTGTTTTTTTATTTTGGATTACCTTCTACAGAGGCTGTAGGACTGAGAAGAAAAATGACTTTAAAACTCTCATCCTCTCATAATTTATTTTTATGGTTTATGCAAGTTCTATGGGAAAGTTTGATCAATTCCAATCAATCAGACAAAGTTCAAGCGATTTTTTAAAAAAAATTACATTTCACGAACGAGAATATTTTCACTGGCATTTCGATCACTATATTTTCTTTTAAATTTTTGAAAAGAACTCTGAAATAAGGCTCTATGAAAAGACGCTAGGAATGTCCTTTTGAAGCAAACCTTCTTTTTCAAGAATTTTATTGAATGTACCCATTTTTGCCAGAGCGGACCCAATAAGACTTTCTAGGAAAGGAATAGTTACTCATCTAGGGTTTCTGAGTCTTTGGGTGTGTTCAAGTAGTTTTTATTTCCATTGAGTGCTAACTCAAAAATTTCTAATTTTTTTGTGATAATTAATTTTTCATTTTCATGCATACAACTTTATTATGTAAAAGTTGCGTTCCGAGGATAATTATTGTTCCCTGTGTCTTGTTGGAGAAATGTTGCAAAGCGGAGTTTTAACATGCGGAATTTTAATGAAAGCGGATCCTAATTCATTTTCCAGAGTATTTGAAAAAATTTTGTCACACCATTTAGATTATTCTTTGGTATAAGCACGGCTCTACTCGCATTTGAAATTTTCAGCAGACGCGTATGATGATCCACCGTCGCGGAGAACTCTGTTACAAGGAAGTGAGCCTGGACCACCGGGTAGGGCTCTCTTGTCCGAAACGGATAATTCTTCTCTTAAGGCTATGGCTATGAATACGGCGGCCGGGGTGGCTACCGAGGCCGTGGACGGTGGCCTAGTCGCGGATATCATGGCGGAGGATACGGTAGGGAGAGCTACGCCGATCGCTTCGACACCGGTGGCTATAGTGGCCACGGACCTCCTCAATATCATGAAATGATTGGCGGACAGGTTTTGGAAAGATTTTGCCATCAGTTTCGGAAAATTCGAATTATAGGGATGTGTATTGATGGTTTATGGGATCGAACAAGATAAAATAAACTGCGAAATGCTCTTCAACATTCTTTGCTTGTACGGCAACGTGATGCGAGTGAGACATAGATTTTGTGTCGTTTTTTTAAATATGAATTGTTTCAGATAAGCTTCATGAGGTCGAAGACAGAAACAGGAATGATCGAAATGGGCGCTCCTAGTGAAGTACTTGAATTCCGTTGATTTTTTTTTCCCAATTAGAATTTGAAGGTGACAAACGTACTGAATTACTTGCAAAACATAGAACTCTTCGGGTTGAAACTCGAGTTCAAGCCGAGTCACCAGGAGGGAGTTCACAACATGAGGTTCACATGAAGATTTATTTTCCAGGTTGTAATATTAGCTTCAGAGATCCATTCCCACTACCTGATGGAACTCCTTCATTCCGGGATTATACGAATTCCCGAAATCAGAGGTTCACGACTCCTGAAAACGCAGCCAGAAACCGAATAGTGCATCCAACAAGATTCCTTCATTGGTTTAATGCTCCCGCAAACATGGACGAAGCGAAGCTCAGAGAGGTTTTTTTTTTTGCTTCGAAATTTTATTTTAAATGTAGGATGAATGTTGGTAGAAGCTCATATATATTAACAAAAAAGATAATTAAACTCGGAGCGTGAAAAGTTACTGGAACAACTTTAAAAAAAGGGTTTTGTTATACGACTTTGAGCTCCGGAATATTTCTTTTGGGTTCCCTACAGCCGAAATGTTCGGTTCGTTTTCAGAAAAGTTAAAACTGAAATGAATTTCATATGTAAGAGTGAAAGTTTCATTTTTCGTCTTGATTTTTACATGGTACTTGCAGCTCCTTCGTGAGAAAAAGTGTCCTGAAGCGATCACCGTAGATGCGATGCCTTCGCGCACCGATCGGTCTGCCACAGGGACTATCGAATTTTCGACGGTCGAAGAGGCGAACGAAGCCCTCGCACTGGCCAATCACACACCTGTCGTCAGTCCTGTCGGAAAAGTATCAAATTACGTTTGATTAAAGTAATACAGATCTTTACAGGCTCCGTACATTGTGAAGCTGGCCTACGCAACACCTAAACGGTATTTTGAAGAAGAAAAGACAGAAGAGTCGAGTGAACAACCGAGCGAGGAGCACGAAGAAGGACGTATCAAGGAAGCCGAAGACGTCGACGAGCGAGACCACAGAAATGACCGTGGTTACGGTGGCTCTTCCAGAGGTCCGCATTTTCCTAACTGATTATGATTTTTCTCACACTCTTTCTGGTAGTTGATAGATTGAAAAAAATAGTTTTTCTTTGTTTTTTTGGATCATTTTTTTCAATTACTTCTGAGAGTCAGCAGTGAACGAAAATGCTGAAAACAAAAATTAGAATAAGCTCTTTGTAGTTTCAGTTGCAGAAACTGTCGCTCAAAATAATTGGTCAAGTGATAACTTTTCTAAATAATAAACGCTATAGTGGAAAAACTGCAGAAAAAGTTTAAATAATATCGGCTGCACTAGTCCGTTCAAAATCCTCATCGAGTTGTTTGGAGTTGCAAAAAAATGGCCATAAGTAACATTGAGAAATTTTTTTAAAGGTTTTTATATTTATTTCAATCAATACTCAAGGTTTCTTCAACATATTGAATTTATTGAAATTTAGAATATCGTGGCGGATACCGTGGGGAGTACCGTGGACGCGGTGGATACCGAGGACGTGGGCGGTATTTTTATTTCTTATTTGTATTCAAAAAAATTATTGAAAAAAACTGAAGTTTTTTTGATCTCACCAGAACTTTTTTTGATTAACGGAAAAAAACAACATTTTTTTAGCGGCGAATTCCGTGGCGATTTTCGCGGTGGCTACAGACCACGAGGCTCCTTCCGAAGTCGCGGACGTCCCCACCACGACTACTGAAATTACCGACATTTACCTCCTCTTTTGCACATTTTGTCACATTTTGGAAGAATTTCTACATATTGTATGTAAAGTCTTTTCTTCTAGTGGTTTGGCCTTTTCGGTATACATCATTTGTTGTTTTTTCGTTATTTGTTATGGATTATATGCAAAATGAATTTCTTGTTGCCAATTTTCAATGTTCCATCTTTGAATCATTGTCGAATACAGACGGCATACTTTTCGGGGACACATTCCGGGATTCAGAAAAGTCGCTTGTAGATGGCTAGTGATAAGGAAATGGCAAAAGCGTTGATGGCCGAAAGAGACGCCACCGAGAAGAAAATAAACGCCAACTTCGAAATTTTGAAGGCGGTTTGGCGAACTTTAGAGTTGTGGTCTGAAGTTTCGGGTTGTAGAACAACAGCACGATGGATTCGCCGTTGGTGGATTCCGAAAACTTCCCGCTCAACAACATCGACATCTACGCGGTCCGCCACGCCCGTCACGACATCATCTGTTTGAAGTTTGCCCTCCACAAAGAAACTCATTTTCGAAACTTGGATTTCTCAGAAAATGAATAGAAAAGTTTCGACGAGAAGCCAAGATGTTTTAAGTTATGGTGAATGAGACATATAGCATTTCTAGCAGAATTTGTGTGTCTTTAAAAAAAAATGATAATTCAGTCGAGGTCTCGGCGCGAAGAACCTTTAGCAAAAAGATGTGAAACCGTTTTTTTATTTTTATAGGCTAACAAGAAGTTAGTTTCTTCATCTATTATCTGTTTTTAAAAAAAGATTCATGGGAGAAGAATCAAATTAGGCGCCTTGAAGAGACTTTTACAGCTTCAACTGAAGGAATTTTAATATCCTCTCATTTTTAAAAAAAGTCCAGAAACTAGTCTAAAAAAATTTTTTTAGATTTCGATTATGAAGTTTTTGTACATGAAAATGCCTGAATATCGCCGTTTTCTGATCAAATATTTTTTTCGCTCGATCCCTGCTCAATTTCCAGAAATTAACAGTCTTGTTTTTATTTCAATAATTCAAAGAGCTGGATAAAGAGATTTAAAGATTGGGAACTTTTAAGGAACGATAGAGAGGAAATAAATCAGAAACTGGCCCAATCTTTGGAAATCGTTCATCAGATCGCCTTGGAGGAGAAGAATGTGGGTGATTGAAATATAATAAGATTTTCAAAGACTCAAAAACGAAATAAATAAACAAAGAGTTGCATTTTTTTTCCAGAACGCGATGGACACCTCGACAGAAGCTGGTGTCGAGAAACCCGTCCACAGGACATCCAACGACCCTTTCGCCAAGGTTCGAGATTGCAGAACCAAAACATTTTTTTTTCTTAGTTAATAATTCTTGAAAGAATTTTCGATAATGACGAGTTGATAGAAGAAGATAACAGTAAATTTTCCAAAAAAAAATCGAGTGAAAAGGTCGAGGCTTTGGTGTCGGATGATAAAGATTTAGATTCATAAAAAAACGGTTTCGTCAGAAGCAGAGAGAAATCTGAGTTTTGTCCTAGAAAACTTCCGATTTGATTTTGTTCTACCGCTCAAAAATTGCTTAAGGTGTCCTCTGTGACGAAGGATTCTCCGGCGTACGTTGGGGGATTCGAAAAGGACGACCTTTTGATCCAGTACGGCACCCTGCATTTCGGCAACTTCCACGAAATACAGCAAGTCGCTCAGGTCACCAAAGCCTCTGCAGACGTCAGTTCCTCTTCCGACTTCCACTCGATCTCTCTATCGATTCAGAAGACGTTGCGGGTGACGGTGCTTCGCAACGACCGGCCAGTCCGTCTGGAGATTCGGCCGCGACAATGGTCCGGCCCAGGACTTCTTGGATGCTCCATCGTCCCTCTCTCCGCCAATAATATTTGAATTCACCGATTTTAAAATGTGATAAACTTTACTGGTGTGTAAATGGGACATAAAGCTTTAATTTATAAATCTATTTTATTAGTTTAAAGAAATGGTTTCGACCAAATTTTCTTCTTCTCATGATTCTTTTTATTTATCAGTTGATGTTCTTTCAGATGCAGAACCAGCTGAAGCAGTACGAACACTTGGTGGGCGGTTTCTGCGGCGGCATGGCCAGTACTTTGGTCTGCCATCCTCTGGATCTTCTCAAAATTCGATTTTCAGGTTATCATCTTTAAAACTGGAAACTTAGCTGCTTAAAGAGAGTTCAAAAAAAAAATGTCAAAAGTTCTAAGGAGTCAACATTAAATAGTTGATAATTTTTGATAATTGTCTCAAACTAAAGCTTAATATTTGAACTTTCCAGCCAATGAGGGCAGCTCGCTACGTCCACAGTACAGTAGTTACGCCGACGCTGTGAGAAAGGTTCACTTTTGATTTTTCCCATCAAAAGTTTGGTTTTCTGAAAATCAGCTGCACTATTTTTGATCCGAAGAAAAATTTGTTTAATTTTTAGATCACAAGAGCCGAAGGCCCGAGAGGGCTCTACCAAGGCCTCACGCCAAATCTTATTGGCGCTTCTTTGTCGTGGGGACTTTATTTTCAGTGGTGAGGATTTTGGAAGGAGGAAAACTTGATATATTAGTAGTTGGAGAACTACAGCTCTTATCATTACTTAATTAAACGCTTTTGAAAGAAGAAACGCAAAAAGACTATTAGAAAGAAATGCAATCAAAAGAAACTTTGAGAAACTCCTTCTTTAGAAGTTCCAGAGAAGAAATCTCAAGACCAGAGCTGTGCTTTGGGCCAGCCGGGCTGGCCATAGTGTTGCAACGCGGTCGCGAAGCGGCCGAAAATTTGCCACTTTTCGAACTTTTTTGTCTCGAAATTTTCACAGTGTGTAAATGGGGGAGTGAGTGATCGAAAATGTGTTATTTGGGAAAATTATGTGATTTAAATTATGAAATGAGATGAAAAAAGCTCGCGATTGCGACAATTGTGGGCCGATTCGGCCATCAACCTCGGTCCAACGCACAGCTCTGCTCAAGACTCATCTGCTCGAGATTCGATAGATAAACCTACCTTGAACATTAATTTGCTATCAGAATATTATTATTTTTATAATCAGATTTATCTAGGTACCATTTCATCAAAAAGAATATAATCGACGGATTGACTGGAAACGAACAAATCGACAATTTTTTCTCGGGTTTTCTCTCCGGCTCGGCGATCATGTGCATTACGAACCCCATCTGGGTGGCGAAAACCAGGTTTTTCGCCTCATTTCGCCCATATTCGATTCTTCAGGTTATGCCTGCAATACGAGACGAGTGCAACAAAAAACTACAAGGGAACTGTCGATTGTTTGCGGAAGATCTTAGCAGAAGAAGGTGTTCGTGGACTGTACAGAGTCAGTTTCTGGGAAAGGCAGCAGAAATGAATATCGGCCGGTTGAGGGATTCGTGCCTGGAATTTTCGGAACGACACACGGCGCCCTGCAATTCGCCACCTACAACTGGCTCAAAGACGTCCGCTGCCGACTCCGAAATCAACCCAAAGACTCTTTTCTCGTAGGATCAGCGTTTGAAATGTGGCAATCAACAGAATTTCAGTCCCATTCCGACTATCTGATATGTTCTTCCATGTCCAAGGTTTTCGCCACGACCATCACTTTTCCGTATCAACTATTGCGCACACGAATGCAGGTGCGTTAAAAGGATGAAAATTTTTTGGCGAAACTTCTTTCAAAAACTCCATAGATTTGATGGTCTCCCGTTCGGCTATCGAAAAACGATTTCCGAGTAATCAAAGACGCCTTTATCGTCCAGGCATTTGACGAAACATTTTTCTTACTTCGTATAAGCTTTCTTACCAAATAATTTTTTTTTTTCTGAACAAACTAGTTTCTTCAGTGGAAAAAAATAATAAGAGAAGTCCTCGGGAAAAAAATGAATGAAATTTTCCGTTTGTTGCGGGAGGACTCTGTTTGGAAAGAAGTTTCAACGTTTTCGATGGTTAATTCACATCTCACCAACTAAGCATAACTTTTGAACTATTATTTTCGATAACTTCAGGACCACAACATTCATTCTGGCGGCGTGTGGCAGACGACGCTGACAGCAGTGCGTAACGAAGGGATTTCGGCCCTATGGAAAGGATGCCTCATGGCCAACTTCAGACAGCTCCCGGCCGCCGTCGTCACCTTCTGGACATATGAAAACGTCAGACGTCTCATAAATATGGGGTCTGAGAAAAGCTAATAATTATCTAGAAACTAACCCAACTTTTTCCATTCGATTAAAAAAGAGAATCGCATCGTACAAAAAAAGCTCTGAACTTTCTAAAATCAGAATTTTTCGAAAAAGTAGGCGATTTAATATAACTACCCAATGCATTTATAAGGAAACGTGAATTCTAAAAAAAGCCATTGATGATTAATTTACTCGAAAAAAAATATTTAGAAACAGCTTAGTTTTTTTAGTTAGGTTACTTTACAAAAACTTTTTAAATCCTAAATAATTCAATTTTTTGAAATATAGAGTTTTCTAAGTTTCATCAGACTTTTACGTGATTATTAGAGATTTTAAATGCCTTCCAGTCACACCGGTAATCAAGAATTCCACTAAAAATTTCATTCTTCTCATTTCAGCCAATAAATATTTTATGGAGTATTTAATAACACGCAAACAAACAATAAGAAACAATCGGACCTGAAAAAAGATATACACGGGAAAGACAGATTCATTCAGTTTTTCGTGATCTCAAAGTTAACAATCCCTAAACTAATTCTGCTGGAATCTTATTCAAGCTGATAAGAGTTCAAGATTACCAGTCTCTCGGGAAAAAAACCACTACTTAGCTCGTTGGTCACTCGCGAGGAAATCCAAGGCGGAAGGTAAGGCTCTAGTCGCGTTTTCCAGCGTCTGAGTGATTTGAGCCGTCTGCTGTGTCAAAATTTGTACGGTGTGCGCTCTGAGGTCCTCCAAAGAGTGGAGCTCCGCCAGCTTCTTCGCCTCGTCCATCGAAACTATCCGGTCATCCACCATCATCACTGAAACCACTTTTTCGATTAAATCAAACTGCGAGTGTGGTCATCCTATTGGAACTCTACACGCACAAATTTTTCAAAAATTGGTCGAAAAGACTCATTTTGAAGATTTGAAACATTTAAAATAACCTAAAAAACTTTGGAAACGCCGCATTGCCAGTGGATCTGACACAGAAGTCAAACATTTTTCGAAAATGGTACTTGTTTTTTTTAAAGTTTTTTTCATTTACAGAAAACTCCTGGTTCAGCCGGTCAATGAAAAAGGCATTTCGAGATTAAGTTTTCTCTATATTTTTTATTTGAAGATATTTTTCCCTCTAATTGAGTTCACACTGAATTCGATATTTAGATTAAAATTAATTGACATGAAATATCCAGATTTCTAAAATAAAGAAGCATATCGGAACCGTGAGAAAACTGAGCGAAATTTCATGTTTTAGAGAAATTTATATTTCTCCGCGTAGAGTTATCTTTCCAAAAAAGTGGCAATGAACATTAATAGAAAATAATAATTACAAACCGAGGGGAACTATCCAGTTCAACTTGTCGGTTTCCTGAACAATGGTTTTGATTGCAGAATGGTCCTTGGCCAGTAAAATGGCGTTTGTACCAATAAACGTAACATCAAGAGCAGAAATAGGCGTTTCTGCAACAGATTCGTTGATTTAGTGGCTTATATGCGAAGAGAAAGAAAACTTACTTGTAAAAACTTGCTTTAATATTTTGTTTCCATATGTTCTGAACTCGATTCCCTTTGTACGAAGCCTGAGAATTTCGGATTTCAACTCTTCGTTGCAAATATCGAAAACTCACTGGTTCTTCGCTAGCCACAAGGTTCTTCCAGGGACGGGCAAAAACTGGCAGACGGCTAAAACTCGGAATTCTTCAGCTACCATCCATTGCTTCACAAGCTTTGACAAAGCTATCTCGACGTCCGAATACTGCAATTTGAATGGATTAATTTAAATGATCTATGAAACTAAGCAAACCGATTTAGAAGCTTCGATGTTTTCCTTGTTGACCAAACCTGGCGGAAAGCATACTTGCGTCAGTCTTGGAACTTCGGGAGCAACTGCCGCTTCGAAAAGTCTTCTCCTTCAAGGAGAATAGACGTTGAAAGAACACAAAAAATAACATACTTATAATGTCTTGGAGTTGGACGTGGATATTTGGATGAAACACTGCGAACTTGGCTCACGACTTTACTTGAAACAACACTTTTCAGCATTCCTGTAATGAAAGAAGAAAAAGTAACAAAGTAATAGAAAAATTTTGGAAAGGACAGGTAAATCAGTGTAATGTTGTCCTGCCAATTCGATCAAATAATTAGAATATACTCGGGCAAAATTCGAAATACCAGAAAATAGAAGAAAAGGGAGAGGCTGAAGATTGACAGCGGTACCGCCAAAAATTTTTTTCGATTAGAAACAAAAGTCTTTCACAATATTATCCGAACAATTGCAATATGAAAATTGAGAGGACTCCTGCGTTTTCTATAAAAAATTTTTAAAAAAAATCCCAATTAGGACACCGAAATAATCACTCGGAAACCGAAACTGGTTGAGAATTTTTTGAATTTTTTTTTCAAGCGAAAACATTGAGAAGGATGCAGAAAAACTATATTCGCTCAAGAGTTCATTTGAAAAGTTTAAAGTTCGTTGGAAATTCTTGTGACGGGAGAGCGAACAAAATTCGAGGGTTTTCTGTAGGGCCGCTAAGTATACTTAAAGGACTTCTCAAATAAATTTCTTACCTCGCGCGCGCACTTTGCAACAAAAAAAGTACGTACTTTATTTATTTTTTTTTTAAATGTAATTTACATTTTAACATTTCTGCCGGTAGATTTTTGTTTATTTTTTCTTTGTTTTCGAATTCCAGTCCAAATATTGACACTCATTCTTACAGTCGTCATTTCCATGAAGTGTTCAAATGGAAAGTTAAGCTTTTTCTCCCTGAAATTTGAATTTTCGATAGTTTTGGCGAGAACCTTTTTTCAGTTAAGTTATTATAATTACTTATAGACTTTTTTTATCCGCACTGATAGTGCACTGATGTTCCAAATTCCAAATGTATCATTTCTTTTTTTCTATCTATTTCGTATGTATTATATAGATTGATTACGGTTTCATAATATAATTTCTATTTCTATCTACAAATGTTGAACGACGTCAAGAGACAAAGTTTTTTTCCTGATCGATCTTCAAAATTAACTCTCTCTTAATTATCCTAACCTTCTTCTCTATTAGCATCAAAAATAATATTTTTCATACGCTGTCAGAACGAAAAATCCTTTTTTTTCAAATTAGTATTCATGATTTAAATTAGAAACGTTTGAGCTAATTTTTTCTCACTCAAGAGCAATTTCATGATTGTCAGTTAAAAAATTATAAATAGAAAAGGTTTTTTTTCCTCTTCGTAATAGTTAAATCTTTGTTTTTCTCTTATCTCTTACCCAAATTCTTCCTATATCTATTTCGTGAATTTTAGCGATTGTGTGTGAAAAATAAAAAATTTTGATTGATTGATCAGTTTCTTTCGATTAAGATGAAGCGCCATATAGAATGTGACCAGATCAAGGGGGTAGGAGTACATGTGTGCCTATATTCCATTTTTTTTTTTCGAATTCTTTCCCCCAAAATGTTGAGGTCCATTTTGTTTTGGCCAAAAAGGTTTCAACTGTCACAATGACCATTTGTCGTTGTGGTTTCGTCGGCGGCTCGCCTGCGTCTCTCTGCCGATCGATCAGGCCTCACAGCCTATAATATCGCTTTCTTTGCCTGGCTCCCGTTTTTCGTTGGCCGTTTTTGCAAGCCTCTCGGAAAAAAAATTTCTTTTTTTTTTCTATTATCCTTCTTGGAATTGATCTAGCCCGTCTAAATTCTTCTCTTAACTTTAAGTACAAACAATCTGTTTTGAAGTTCTTTTTCACAGGTTCGAAATTTTAAAAAAAATTTGAAAAAATATAAGTCAAATTTTGTACCCTAAAAGCCTCTTTTTGGGATGTTTCGACGAGAAGGATAAGTAATTTAAGTTGGAACGATCAAGTTTTTTTTTTTGCTATTAATGTTTTTCGAATGTTTTTTATGCTTTTTTAGCCTTGCAAGAACAAGTGTGAGTTATGCAAAAAATAAATTTAAAGAGCTTTAGCCTTTATTCTCTTAACTCTTCTTTTCAACATTTTTTTTGTTTGTCGTTTGTTTTTTTTATGTTCAATATAAGGAGTTGGAGGGGAAAAAGTTTGCATTTTCATAATTATCTGAAATTATCCAGTTTTTATTTTTCCTGGACTTACAAGACAGAGGCACTTTGAATCTTGTAGCGACTGCTGAAAAATTTTTTTCAACTATCCCTTTCGATTTTTTATTCTAACTATAGTGCTCGCGTGTGAGGAAAAACAGCTGCGGAGGCTATTCTTCTGTTTATTTCTTCCGAGCCGGACAACTGCATCGTGCCTTCGTGATACGAAGAGTACAAAGCAGAAGCCGTATACATCAAGTTTTATGTTCTGTGCCTCATCTTGACTTTATCACCGCGATACGTTTTTGATCTTTTTTTTGTTAAATTTTGGGGAAGTTTTTACTGAAGTGAACATTTTTTTTTGGCGATCTGTCCATAGGTTCCCATTCTTCTCAGGCTTTCTCAGGTTGTTTTTTTTTTCAGAATGAGCCACAATATCATTGGTCACCGCTATTTCTAAAAGGCTCGCGCGCAGAAAAAGCGTCTTTCGTATAGTTAATCCTGGCGTTTGTTCGCACTTGGCGTGCTGGGTGCCATCGATTTCTCAACTCAATGGGTTCTGCCTCTGCCCCGTTTCGGCTTCTTCCAGCAGTAGCCAGCTGCAAAAAGCTGTCTGCTGGTCATTCGATCCGCCGCGCTTTCGGTCAGCGCGACCTTTGACTTTTCGCTTCTTTTTGAGGAGGATCCGTAAAATGAACAAGTTCTTAAACAACTTAGTCTCAAAAACCAGATCAAAAACCTACTTTAAAGTTGAATTATTCGTTTATTCGGCTGCTGAATACATAAGTTCTCTTCTAGCAAACACCTAGGAGCTATTTTTGCCGTTTTTTTATTATCACTTTTTTTAAAATATAATCTTTATGTGGTCAAAATATTCTAGTTTTTTCCCTCGAAAGTCCAGACTCTAACGTCGTACTTGACCCCGAAACGGATGGTTTTTTCACCACTTACATGAAAGGTCATTCGTTCTGAGGAATTTTCTGAAATATCGCTGAAATTTGTCCTCATACATCAAATGAAGGTCCCGGACGTTTCAAAGTTCATGTTTTTTCAACTTTTGACAAAGAAGAGAAACTTTTTGCGTTTTGTCTCCAACCTCAGTTCTTATAAACGGACAAGTTCTGCAAGTTGAAAATTTCAGAACCTCAACTTGGCTGAGCACAGCTGTGTCAGACCATCTTAACAGTTCATTAAAAATGCACCATTTCATTGAAAAGGTTTTGCTTCGCCTTCCGATTGTCTCTTGCGCTTCCGGTCTCTCATTTCCGAAAAATCTTCATTCTGCAACTAACGACGTGTGGTCAAGCGCGCTCCATCGCATCACTAGGCGGGAGACGAGCTCTCCGTGCGTAACTGATCGTTTTGTTTGCCTGTTTGCTCGCCGGTCGTCGAGAATCGCTCCTCCGTTTCCACAACTCTTTTTCTGCCGTGCCATATACTCTTTCTGACGTGCTTCTGCGCTTCCAGTAGCTTTTCTCTTGTTCATTCTTCATTTTCCCATTAATTTAATTGCCGTTAGAAGCCGACTTCAATTATGATATAATTGTTCCGATGCTAGTAATTTTGTAGAACGAATTTATCAACTTCCACGTGAGGTTTCTGGAAAAACCAATATCACAAGGCTTCCCTTTTTTGATAATCATTCTTACGAAAATGGCTTTTTTCTTTCCCAATGTTTCAAAAAAAATTTTGAATTACACGAATGACAAGCGATAAGGAATCGTCGAATTGAACTGTCTTTTTTGATTTACATCGAAAAGCGTGACATTTTTTTCTATATTTTTCAGATTTTACTAATTTTCCGAGCTATTTTAACGGTAGAAAAGTTGGTTCGAATAGTTCTTCTTGATCAATTCTCCTATCTGTGAATAACGCCTCTTCTAAACAGAAAACGGCGTTCGATTCTCATCAAAAAAAAAAGAAAGAAACAACGAAAAAGAGTACTAACGGCTGGAGCCGAGTGATAACGTCTGTGACAATATTAGCAATCAACTGCTCGATATAGTCTTTCCTTCGTCTATTTTTCCCTTCTTTTTGCCCTGTTCCCATCGATACCAGCGTTGTCGTGTTTTATTACTGAGCCGTCGGCCGTCGTGATATTGAATTAAACATTGGGCCGACGATTCTCCCACGTCTTCTTCTCTTCTTTTCTTAGTCAGTTAAATCTTCTGATTTTTTTAGAGAGTTTTTTTTAATCAAGCGCGTGATTCGGGCGGCCAAAAATTTTTGATTGTCACAAAGGGGAGCCTATCCATTTTTTTTTCCAATCTTTACTTCTTGGGTTGACGGAAAAGAAAAAAATTTTGGATTATCATGCCGTTAAAAACTTTGTGCCAGCTTCAAATAGGAGGAGAGAGGATAATGATTCCGAAAATTATTCCATTCACGTCGTCATGGAAGAGAGTCAGCTGGTTCCACTTAAGTCACACTTTTGGCCTTCTGGAACAGCGCTAATTGTCCGTCACTATTTCTAGTGCAAACATTGGATCGTTGTGGTCTCCGATAATTAGTAAAGTTAGAAAAATGAGGGCTGACTTCACAAAAATGTTTTTTACAGTCAAACAACTTTTTTCAAACGTAGCAAGTTTCTTAAGTTTCTTTTTAAAAAAAACCCATAGAAATGCTTATTTTTTTGCTTAAAGGCGGATCTGTGGCGTGGGGGGGGAAAGAGAACCATGAAAGTCATATTTGCCAGAACGCAAATTTTAAGTTTTTAGGGACTTCGGCTCATACACTTTTCTAGATGAATATTTTCAAAAGAAAAGGCGGTTGTAGAAATCGTACTTTTCAAATAAAACTCCTTCAAGTTCTTTCCCTCAGTTGTATTATACTTCTTCTTTTAGGCGTTTGCTCTGAAAAAATAGGAGTTTGTGCAGTTTGAGGATTTCAGGGTCGCCATCCGCCAAGAGTTTCAAGAAGCAAGATTTTGTGTTGACCGGGTGGTAGCGAATCCTCAAGAGAGAATTGAAGTTACCCTCCTTTTTAGATGGTGAAAACCACAAAAAAATGTTGTCTGAGAACTTTTAGAGTTGATAGGTATGGATAGACTCGTTGACTTCCTCCGACAGTCTCAAGAAACGCGCCAGAGCGGATCGGAGAGCGTGTTCAATTGCCTGGCAGCTTTTTCTCTGCCTCGTCTTCTCTCTCTCTTTTCTGCCTTTTTCTGCCGTTTCGCGCCACGGCAAAACGTGTTTCGTGGGGCCCAAGAGTGACATTTCTGGTAACCATCTCTTACTTCAATCCTTTTTTTATGTTTTCTTTTTTACTCTCTCCCTCTCTTTCGCTCCATTCGGTTTTCGGCCGATTCATTTAGCATGGTTACGGGCCTTTGGGAATCGTGACGTTTTGAGAACAAATTTGACGATTACAGTTCTTCGAAAGAGATAGAACTTCTCTCGGTAGGGTAAATAGGTTCATGGTTTTTTTTTTCTAACCTGAACTTATTTCTATATTCAAAAATTTAGCGTATCTTTAAACCATTTAATAGTAAAGTTATTGAGAGATTCGACCTAAATATCATTTTTTGTCACAATCGAGAATAAGTTCTTTGAAAGCCTGATGTCCTAATAGAGAGATTGAATTGATTGCCTCTGTCCAAGATTTGTCCAGCTTTTTGGAGCCGACAGCCGCGGAGATCCTTCCGTTCCGGTGGGCCGATCGCCTACCGCAAACGCTCTGTTTCTTGCCTTTCCTTTTTTTTCGCTCTCCTGTTTTTTTGCTCAAGAAAAAGAAAATATCTTTCGGCTACGGCTTTCTTCGAATACCTAAGCTACAAAAACACCGAAGACAATTTTCTGTTCCCAATCTCAGCTTTCATCTTTTCTTTCTTTTTGCTTCTTGAAAGGTATAGGAAGACTAAATTCTGAGCATTGTGCGCATTTACCAGTCCTTATATAGTGATGTATTATATTACAATAGATTTTAAGTGACTTTCAACCGCGGAGCGCGATAAGGAGCTCATGTGGCCGGAAAGGCGTGTCGAATAGAAAAAAAAAGAAGAATGGCGACGAGAGAAAAAGGAAAAGCTGGAGGTTTGCAACCCGAAACCCTGCAGCTGTACTTTGAGATTGTTCTATGCCATTCTTGATCTTTTTCTCAGCTCAAAAGGCGTTTTAAGTTTGACTCAAAAATATTTTCTTAGCAAAATCACCTGTCGATCTGAATTCATGAGGGCATTTGCAAGATTCGGTTTAAGCTCTATCCAGGTTTTTTTTCTAAAAGTTTTTGGCTGCCATCATCTCTGTGGACACGAAGTACGACTATCAAAGTGATTCATTTTTTTCTCATACTTATCTTCAAAAAGTTTTTTTATTTAATTTGTTATTATTTAAAAATGTGATTTTTTTCACGCGCTAGGACCTATTTGACTAAATAAATTGATATAGTTACTTGTTCTGATATCAAAATGTAAAAAAAAAAAACGCAGAACATTGAAAATCGAAAATGTAGTCATGATTGATTTTCAAGGTGTGTTTTCGTTGCTTTTCGACGATCTGGAAAAAAAAGCCTTTGTATTCAGGCTTTATCAATAAAACAACTTAACATTTTGAAATCAGCTCTCTCAAAGATCAAAGACAGTAGTGGTCAACAATGATATATTTTGTTTCATAACCCTTTCTATACGTCGTTCTTCTCTTAACATCCGGTTAGACAGTTCTTTAAAGGCAACTTGTCGCCAGTTTTCGAATTGTCGCTCTCGAGGAATTTCTGGCATCTCTGACTTTAATATCGCCTTGCTGGGACGGCATCGATCACCTGTGTCGAATGGCTTCGTAGTGCAGCAAGCTATGTTCCCTCTAATCCGCCTTCCGGCCGGAAAAACGGTTCCATGGGAACCTCGGAGAAGCTTTCCCAAACGTTCCCAGGTTCCACTCCCACGCTGCGCGCTCGTTAAAAAGTTTCGGCTCACACATGTCCCTCGGATCCGTCGCCCCAACTTTCTGTAGTATTCTTGCTTCTTCTCTTCTTTTCTTAATTAATCTTCGCTCAGCTTTTGATGTAGTCCGTTCGCTTCGACTCCTGAAGTTTGGCTGAAGAACTCTTTGGTGAATGAGAAAGTTTCTGAGATTCTGAACCTGCACAGCTTCCAATTTCTCGAGAACGCAAGACCTTATAGATTCTCGCAACTGTACCGAGAAAATCGGCTTTCGAGGCGCCTGCCTTTGAAAATAGAAACTTTGAGATTTTCCTCATCTTCATCATATACAATGAGGTCCCATGAACAGTTTCTAGTCCGTCATTACTTTTGTAAGCTGGACTCGTCTTTTCTCTAATTTTCACAAAAATGAGAATAAAATTTCTGCGTTGTCTCATATCCTCGCGAGAAAAATGAATAGTGTGACTGACATAAAAGAAAAAAATTATGTCAATTTTTTTTAACTGTACAAAGCTTCGTATGTGGTCGGAAAATAAAATAAAAACAGTTGAGTCACTGAAATGTTTGCATAATTCTTGCCGCCATAGTTCAAGCACTGTATCGTCCAGTGCGCTATTATTTTTGATCGAAAGAATAAAAAGATATGATTTTTTTATAACGGTCAAATTAGCAATTGCGCAAACTATATGGCGTCACCTATCGGTCCGCAATCGATCACTTATCATCGACGTTGACTCACGAGGCCGCTCTTATTCAGTTCACGCCTCCAGCGCGGATTCATCTCTGTTCTTTCTTCCATGCGTCGTCCAATTTGTTCAATTTCTCTTTCTGACCTCTCTTGTTCCGTTTTTAGCACCTCGGGCCGTCAGCTCAAGTTATATTCAAAAGCTCTCAGGCCATTTCGTCGAAAAACCTTTCAGCTTTTGGCTGTTTGGTTCAACCCTTTCGAGACCAGGCATTATTGCACGCCGTTCTTCCCACTTTCTCGCGTTTCCTTCAATTTACCGGTCACCAAAACCTTCTTTTACAACCCGTCGTCAACGCCAAGAACCAGCCATCGCGTACCTCTCTCAATTCTTGAAAAAAAAGAACGTCTACATCGCCATTTTTGGCTCGTTTGGCACCGTTTTTGTTCCTTTTTCCTTGTTCGCTTTCTGTTCCTCCCGCGACGCCCATGACTCACGTGTGAAACACCATTTCTGTTCGTTTTTTGTTTGTGCGCCCTCAACATACACTTTTCTCCGTCTAATTGTTTTTTTCTGGGAAAGCTGGCCTTCTTTTAGCAACAATTGGGGTCCTTAAAAGTAGCTTTATACTTTTTGACGGATCAAATTTCATGAAAATTTCGAAACATGATCCTAATTGAACAATATTATTGTGTACATCTGTGAGAAACGGTGTTCTTGACGTTTCATCAAAGATCTTGAATTTCTTCCCCGTGTCGGCACAATTGTATATTTAGCATCGGACGCATTAGTTGTTTCGCTAGCTGCTTTTCTCGCGACAAAATTGAGCCGTTTGCAGTTTCTAGAAGGGATAGCAGTTGCGACGTTAGAAACGGCGGCGGCGCGACCCCCGACGCACCACGAGCACGACGATCGTCGCGACGG